TTTGCGGGGCTGGCGACGGGGAGGAGCAGGCTTCTCCCCCCGCCAGCCTTCCAGCCAAGTCGGGGGGCAGCGGCAAGGGCGCGCTGTGCCTCTCCCGCTGTCCCCCGAGTTTGCAGGGCTGGCGATGGGGAGGAGCAGGCTTCTCCCCCCGCCAGCCTTCCAGCCAAGTCGGGGGGCAGCGGCAAGGGCGCGCTGTGCCTCTCCCGCTGTCCCCCGAGTTTGCAGGGCTGGCGATGGGGAGGAGCAGGCTTCTCCCCCCGCCAGCCTTCCAGCCAAGTCGGGGGGCAGCGGCAAGGGCGCGCTGCGCCTCTCCCGCTGTCCCCCGAGTTTGCGGGGCTGGCGATGGGGAGGAGCAGGCTTCTCCCCCCGCCAGCCTTCCAGCCAAGTCGGGGGGCAGCGGCAAGGGCGCGCTGCGCCTCTCCCGCTGTCCCCCGAGTTTGCGGGGCTGGCGATGGGGAGGAGCAGGCTTCTCCCCCCGCCAGCCTTCCAGCCAAGTCGGGGGGCAGCGGCAAGGGCGCGCTGTGCCTCTCCCGCTGTCCCCCGAGTTTGCAGGGCTGGCGATGGGGAGGAGCAGGCTTCTCCCCCCGCCAGCCTTCCAGCCAAGTCGGGGGGCAGCGGCAAGGGCGCGCTGCGCCTCTCCCGCTGTCCCCCGAGTTTGCGGGGCTGGCGATGGGGAGGAGCAGGCTTCTCCCCCCGCCAGCCTTCCAGCCAAGTCGGGGGGCAGCGGCAAGGGCGCGCTGTGCCTCTCCCGCTGTCCCCCGAGTTTGCAGGGCTGGCGATGGGGAGGAGCAGGCTTCTCCCCCCGCCAGCCTTCCAGCCAAGTCGGGGGGCAGCGGCAAGGGCGCGCTGCGCCTCTCCCGCTGTCCCCCGAGTTTGTGGGGCTGGCGATGGGGAGGAGCAGGCTTCTCCCCCCGCCAGCCTTCCAGCCAAGTCGGGGGGCAGCGGCAAGGGCGCGCTGTGCCTCTCCCGCTGTCCCCCGAGTTTGCGGGGCTGGCGATGGGGAGGAGCAGGCTTCTCCCCCCGCCAGCCTTCCAGCCAAGTCGGGGGGCAGCGGCAAGGGCGCGCTGCGTTTCTCCGCTGTCCCGGACGGCTTTCAAAAGCCTGCCTTCAAAAGCCGTCCGGGACAGCGGAGAAACGCGCTGCCTTTCTCCGCTCTCCCGGGAAGGCAGGCAGGGGGGAGCAAAGACTTTCGCCCCCGCCCACCTTCAGAAGAGGTCCAGGACCTCTTCTGAAGGCGGGCGGGGGGCAAAAATCTTTGTCCCCCCTGCCTGCCTTCCCAGGGGCTTTTAAATCGCCCCGGACAGTGGAGAAGTCCTCCGCTGTCCCGGGGTTTTTTAAAATGCTGGGGGTGGGAAGAAAAGCCCTTGTCCCCCCCCCAGCCTTCAGAAGAGGTCGGGGGACAGACTGTCCCCGGACCTGGTCTGAAGGCGGTTTCCCTAGGAACGCATTAATTGATTTTCAATGCATTCCTATGGGAAACCGTGCATCGCAAGACGGGGCTGGTGGTGCGAGCTTCAGAATAAGTGGGATCCGCGTGCGCGAGACCGAGATCGCGGGTAAGGAGCTCAGCCCTGGGCAGGAGGAAGCGGGGCCACGCGTGCGGGCCACATCCCCACAGAGAGCGAGCCTCCCCCGGCCCACCACTCCGGGCAGGTCCACTCGCATGAGGGGGCGGCGATGGCGACGGCCGGCAGCTTGCCTGCAATGCCATCCCTCGAGCAGGCGAGGAGCCCGGAGGCTACCAGATGCGAGTCCTCTTTCCCACCCTGCTCGGGAGTCCAGAGCACTTGGTCGCATTCAGGATCTAGAGTGGGGAAGCGGGGCTTGTGTCTGGGCTGGACACATTGGGCTGCCTGTGCCGCTCGACCTGCGGGGAGAAATCAGGGTGGGAGTCACGACCGTGAGGCAGGGCTGCCAAGTGTGGCAGAAGAGGACACGGCCGTCGCACCTGTCCTTAGGTAGGAGCTTCTTCCGTGTCGACCTGCTGCCCTAAAGTCTTGGCTTTTTTCTTGGCTTTTTGGCGGTTGGCACAGAAGGAAGGCAAGGGGGAGGGGAAAAAATTGAAACTTACACTTTCGTGCGTCCCTCCCGGCATGACGCTGCGCGCTGACGTCACGGGGCTGTAATGGTGGTGTGCCTCGAGATTTTTTTCATGAAACAAGTGTGCCTTTGCCCAAAAAAGGTTGGGAAACACTGGTCTAAAGAACTCAGAATTCCAAGATGGAGCTCTATTGTTAAGAGTCAGAATCTCCTTGAAAGCAGAAAGTACTTAAATGGTAAAGATAAATGGTAAAGAGACGTGGGTGGCACTGTGATCTAAACCACTGAGCCTTTTGGGCTTGCTGATCAGAAGTTTGGCAGTTCAAATCTCTGTGACAGGGTGAGCTCCTGTGGCTCTTTCCCAGCTTCTGCCAACCTAGCATTTCAAAAGCATACCAGTGCAAGTTGATAAATAGGTACCACTGCAGTGGGAAAGTAAATGGCGTTTCTGTGCACTGTGGTGTCTGTCATGATGTTCCGCTGTGCCAAAGCGGTTTAGTCATGCTGCCCACATGACCCAGAAAGCTGTCTCTGGACCAACGTCTGCTTCCTTGGCCTGAAGCAAGATGAAGTCGCCTTTGACTGGACTTAATCATCCATGGGTTCTTTACCTTTACCTCTTCTAAAATGGGCGCTAATATTAAGATGTGGCTCATTGCAGAGACTTTTGCAAGAACTGTGGAAACTGTAGAAGTTACAGACAATCAAGAAAATAGTACTGCAGAGAGTGTTTAACAAGTCTGAAAAATCCCTACATTGCATGCATATAATTCATGAATAAATAAAGCCCTTTTTTGCACCAGAGTGTAAAGCACCACTCACACATGAACTATAAACAGCATAGTCAACACAGCATGGTCAACACTGTTTAAAGTTTAACTATAGGTAGAGAGCATTAAGCAGGCTGTAATGGTGCCTGGGAGAAAATATATATACTTAGTTAAGTCTGTACATCTCAGGGAAGCAGCATAAAATGTGTTGAAGGAACCTGGACCATCTTCTTGTTCTATTAGGCAAACTGCATGTAACAATGACTGTACTGAGGTGCATCATTGCTTTAATGAAAAATAGTGGAAGTTATACACAAGCTCCATTCATGCTGGATGCATTCTACTTGCCCTATTCATGGCAAGAACTTTCACTGAAACAGCTGATCTGTGGTGAAACACCTTGGCAATAGAGATGTTGCAGTCCTATTATATGAACCTGTCTTATTATTATTATTATTATTATTTATACTATGGCTTTGCTATTCAAGTGACAACACTCTCTCAAGGAAGCAATAGAATTCCTCAAGGCTTCAGTTAAGGAAATGAGTGAATTGGCAGTCATTGTATGAAAGTGCAATGTGATTTAAAAATGTGATTAAGGGTTACAAGCATGGCCTTATAGCAAAATGTGGCAGTTCTGTTCAGGTTGCCAGCCATTCCATTTGTTCTCCCTCCCCATTTCCCGTTTTTGTCCTATTTTGTGCCCTCTGAATATGCACCCTGTTTTTTTCCTTTTTCTGTTTTGGGCTCTCCCTTCCATTTTAAATTTTTTTAAAAAAATTGGGTGGGGGAAATGGACATACATTTGTCTAATTCCAGGTATGTTAGAACTATGTTGTACTCTCACTGGGTATAGAATGCTAACTGACTGCTGGGGGGGGAATCCCCCCCTAATATAATGGAGTGGCTGAAACCCCAAACGGAAGCCCCTCCACTTTGACAGGAGTGAAATGCTGCCACATGCACGTGAAGTGGAAGAGGAAATGGTTCACAACAACTGGAGAGCTGGATGATGCTGGGGGACCACTCTACAGAGTCTTCCACTACACAAGTCCTCATCTTAGCCATAGTGTTATCAGCAGTCATGCTTCTGGCTCTAATGCACTCAGAAAAATGGCAGCCCTCAAACAAAGTTTGCATTACTTAATGACAATATAGAATCTAAAAAGATACACCTCAGTTGTGTTGATAAACCTGACTTTTTATGCAAATCACAATCTGCAAATGATCAGGACCTACAATATTCTCTATTGATATCTGAAAAAAATATTATTATTTCCAGGTCAGAATTGCAAGGGCTAGCCATATGGGGAGTGTTAGTGGGAAAGGAGCATGTTTGGTTCCTTTCCTGGTCATGCAGCGAAAGTGAACCCTTTTGTTTCTACTTATAAGTGGATGATTGTTATTTGCTGTTAAGAAAAAAAATCTATGGCCCCGGGAACACCGTCCCTATAGTTATAATGACTGTTAGCGTGCTAAGTTAGTGAACAATAATTGTTGTATTTATTAAGGGCTCTTGTATTTTGAAAATGCCCCCCCCCCATGACTTTACAAATGCTTTACAAAAAATTTACAAAAACAAAACGGTATTCTGGTAACTTAAATTAAGTTATAAAAATGGAATAGCCATCTAAATGATCAAATCAGTACAGTGGTACCTTGGGTTACAGATGCTTCAGGTTACAGATGCTTCAGGTTACAAACTCTGCTAACCCAGAAATAGTACCTCGGGTTACGAACTTTGCATCAGGATGAGAACAGAAATTGCGCGGCGGCAGCGGGAGTCCCCTTTAGCTAAAATGGTACCTCAGGTTAAGAACAGTTTGAGGTTAAGAACGGACCTCCAGAACAAATTAGGTTCTTAACCCGAGGTACCACTGTACATAAAAAATCATCTTACACTGTGTGTATTCTTGTTTTCCTAAGCAGTTTGGAAACTCCAACAATATTATGACGTTCTTTTTGAGTTTCTTTAACTGCAACACTATTGTCCCACTATTGTACATCTTGATGTGGCATGTGTGGTGAATTTAGAGGAAGAGTTTTATTTACTTACTTACATGCACAGAATTTATATACTGTATATTTATATACTGTAAAACTTCAAAGCAGTTTAAAGGAAAGCTTGTATATAACCAAAAACATATGTCTGTTACATGTAAAAATATACTTTGGCATCTTTCTTTGCAGGTTGTTCAGCAACAGTTATGAACTCTCGGTTACGAGCACTAGGTGGGAGAATAAATAACATTCGAGCATCAGAACTACCAAAGGAACGCACCCGATCTGAGATCATTTGCAGTGTCCGCTTTTTGGATGGCTCAATGCAAAGCTTCAAAGTTAGTGTAAGTCTTGGGATTTTGAAATGTGTGATATCTGTAAAGCATGGGGCCCCTGTATTTTGGGGTTTCTGGTCCAATTTGGAAACTTGAGAAAACTGTTGCATATCAGATATTTGATCCTTCACTGCACAACATCAACTTCACAAAAGCAAATTGGTTCTGAAAAACTGCTGCTAAAACTCCTTCCTTTTCCAATTTTGGCATGGTAACATCCTTAATAGATGGTTTCTTAAAGCAGTCAAATACAACATCTGTTGTGGTGCAACATTCATTGAAACTGGACAATATACTCACTTTAAACAAGTCTGCTTAGTCTTTCAAAGGTCACTACATCCTTGGGTTTCCCATGGTCTGAATTACGGCCATACCATCCATTACAGAACATGTTAGAATCCAGGTTTCTTTCAAACTTAGCTGTGAAATATTCTCTTCTTGTTGACAGTGATAGTGGCATAGTCCACATCTCTTGCTTCAAGAGGTTAATGACCTCAATAGACCTGCCAGCGTCTATGGATGAAAGGTCACAATCAGTTCAGATAGCTGAGGTATTTATTTATTTTTTAATGCTAACCACTGCATATATGGAAGAAATATTTTGTTAACTTTTTCTTTGGATTTGGTGCATGTAGGTTGACAGTTTATCAGCGACAAATGTCTGCAGTTTTTTATTTATGTGCATTCAGCACATCATGTGTAATTGGCTCTTGGGGAATGTCTGGTGATCGAATCATGCAATGTCTATAGCTTTTACCATTGAGAGTATTGCATTATACTGGACAACCTGGAGAGGTACTTGAAATGAAGCTTCTGTCTTATTTGTGCCAAAATTGGGTTGGAAAATGGTATGTAGGCCAGGAATATCAGCATGTCAGCTAGTGTGATAGTTCAGTTCCGATATTTCTTCCCCATGGACACTTCTGTAGAAAGGAACTGTTTGAGATGCATGGAAGGTCCCCTTCCCACCTGTTATTTCCTCAAAATTAGAAGGTCCACTTCCCAGCCTCTGTTCTCATTAACGTGTCTCATGTAGTCTGAAAGCAAATCATGTCTGAAATTCATTGGGGCAATTACCGTTATATTTCCATGTGCTAAGAATCTTGGGGTTATTGCTGCTGTTACGGTACTTTTCTGGGGCTATTGCTGCTGAGACAGTACTTTGAACACACTCAGTATTGAATGTGGACCAAGATACCTGCCAAGTGACAACTTTATAATGCAATGTGCAGATTTGTTTAAAATTGAGAAAATTGTTGGATAGTAAGGAGCTCAGCATCCTGTCATGGCATATTCTGTTCCTTAGAATTCTCTTCTGGTTCATATGCTAATCAGAGAGAAAGCTCAGAATGTGAAACCAATATATCCTTAGAATCATAGAATTGTAGAGTTGGAAGGGACCCTGAGGATCACTGAGCCCAGCCCCCTGCAATGCAGGAAAATGCAGTTGTCCCATATGGGGATCAAACCTGCAACCTTGGTGTTATCAGCACCACGCCCCAGCCAACTAAGCTATCCGGACTCCTTGATAAGGATGGGTGCTCAAACCCAACTTCCAGGTACTGCTTTCGTACTTAGATATGGAGTTAACCCTGCCCTTACCATCACTTTGAAGTCAATGCATAGTTGAAGCGCTTGTCGTAGCTCCAAGCCTCAGTCACGAAACTCGGACTCTCAGCTCAAGGAAACCTGCAAGCTTTGTTCAAAAAGTCAGTGCATGGTCTCAGCATTAGTACACAGTTCTTAAGTCTATAAGCAGAGCTCTAAAATTAATAGCCAAATCAGTAGCTGAGATGTCCCAACACTTGACATGCCCTTCCTGCTCAACTGTTGAAGACAGAAACTTGACTCAAGTGAGAAGACTGTGCTTGCAAGTGCACTCCTGCTGGAGGACCAGTACTGTTGTGCTGATGCAGTTGGCAGCATATCCTTAGCAACAGGACCTGAGTCACAAGGGACCCATGATAGCACTTACTGTGGAACTGTTAGGACATCAGATGAGTTGTTGAGCGCCAGAATGCTTCAGAAACGGAGGCAGAGCAGTGTGGAAAGTTATTTCTTTTGATATAAAATATTTGGTTGGTACTTGGTTGGAGCATTATTTCCTTTCCCTTCTTAAAATTTAAAAAGATACCTGGATATGCTCTCAGGCTATTTGAATGCTGACCTGTTGATTTTTAATTTTTTTAAAGAAGCACATTCTTTAGACATAGTATTCATGTAGGAGATGGTTGCTAACTAATGATTGTATAGGTCTGCTTACAGGAGGTGTGTTTGTATACAGCATTCCCCCCCCAAAAACAATTCTGTTTATATGTAATACAGGTACATATTCATTCACATAATTCATTCATTCACATAATCGGGCACTGGAAGGCTCCTTTGGAGAGGTTTGTGACCTCCCCTCTTCCCCCAAACCCCGTTATTTAGGAGAAATGTTATGGAATATTAGGAGGAATATTATGGCATTTTTAAGACTGCACATTTAAGCCCAGTTTGTCAGTCTGCTGAATGCACCTCATGAAGGCAGCTGTAGCCTACAAATGGACAAATGGTTGTTTTGTTTATGCCACAAACATAAACATACGGTAAGTCTGACATCTTTTTGTTTTATTCTGATGAATCTCCAATATTGGAGTCCCATTATCTGTATTTACACAAGAAAACACTCTTGAGAGGACATGGCACCCATCAAGGGAGAGAGGGTAGATGGTGCTTACATTAATCTTTTAAAGTTTTAAGAAGTTCTCAAATTCTGGATATTAAAAGGATTTCTCCAATGAAATTAGGGATGTCCTAAGGAAATTTACATAGCTTGTCATAGTAAATATGGCATCCCAGGTGCCCAGAACCTTTCATGTAACAGGATTTTGAAGGCTCAGCTATACAGGCAGTCCTGCAAAAAATATTATCTTGTGAATGGAGTATTCATAAGCACACTGCTGGAGAGGTAAAAAAAAATTGTTTGAGAATTAGTTAATCTGGTGTAAGAAAGTGGGCAGGCTCTGGCTTGCGGCTGAGTTATAAACTGTTTATGAAGAGAGCTTGACATTCAATTTAATAATGATAGCAGTTCTTCCATTTATTCCTAGTAGTAATTTCACTTTTATATGTAAATGTTAGTGAAGCTACATTTTTAAAGCACTCTGTGTGGCAAAGATTAGCTTTCTAAATACTTTTACTTTTATTCTGCAGAAACAAGATACTGGTCAGGTGTTGTTGGATTTGGCCTTTAATCACTTGGGTGTGACAGAGAAGGAATATTTTGGTTTGCAGCACTGTGAGGACTCAGCAGATTCAACAGTAAGGAAACATATTCATATTCAAGATTTTTTTTAAAAAAAAATGCAGTCAGAAAGCTTCCTAACTTTGTTTTTTTAAAAAATATTTGCAGAGATGGCTTGAATCTGGTAAACTTGTTCGGAAACAGCTAAAAGGTAATGCTTTAAAATTTCTTGCTTTAAAATCTCATATGACTCGGGATTCTAGTATAATGAGAGAGGAAGAAAAAATTCTCTCTGTCCACTTTTCCCACTTGCTGCATAATTCATGCCCCACTTTGCCTTTTCTCTAAAATAAAGCCTCCATAGGGTAGTTGCTTCAGACCCATAATAATTCTGGTCTAGTATTTCTGAACTTCAGTTCTGTATTATCCTTGCTGAGGTGTGGTGACCAGAACTGTACACATTATTCAAAGTGTTAATAGAAATATAGAATTGTAGAGTTGGAAGCAACCTAGTTCAACCCTTGCTAAAGCATCCATGACAGGTGGCCACCCAACCTTTGCTTAAAAACCTCCAATGAAGGCAGTCCCATAACCTCACAAGGGAGTCCGTTCCACTGTCTAACAGCTCTTACTGTCAGAAAGATATTCCTGATGTTTAGTCAGAATCTCTTTCCTTGTAACATGAATCCATCGGTTTGTGTCCCAACTTCTGGAGTAGGAGAAAACAAGCCTGCTTGTTCCATGTGACAGCTCTTAAGATATTAGAAGATGACTATCATTTCTTCTCTCAGTCTCCTCTTTTCCAGGCTAAACACACCCAACTCCCTCAAACATTTGTCTTAAGGCTTGGCCTCCAGACCCTTGATCTTTTTGGTTGACCTCTTTTGCACATGCTCCAGCTTGTCAATATCATTCTTAAAATGTGGTGCCCAGAACTGTATACCACGTGTGGTCTGTCTAAGGCAGAGTAGAGTGGTACTATTGCTGTGAGAGGCAGTGGAAGACAGGAGTGCCTGGCGTGCTCTGGTCCATGGGGTCACGAAGAGTCGGACACGACTAAACGACTAAACGACAACAACATTGCTTCCCTTGATCTGGATACTATACTTCTGTTGCTGCAGCTTTTTTTGTTGTTGCTTCAGACTGTTGACTCATGGGTCATTCCATGCCAAAGCACCTGATTTAAATGTTTGACCGTGCTCTCTCGTCTCAGATTTTCTTCAAAAATTTTTAGGAGATAACCTCAAATTAATTTTTTTTAGATTTGTTGGTCCAAAATTGGGCGCAGAATTTTTTTAAAATTTCAGTTTTCCCACAATTTAGGCTAATGCAATTTCTGTGTGAATTTAGAAAAAAACCTCCTGTTTCGCTTATTTTTCAACTGATTGGGCTTATTTTTGTATCAAAATAAAGCTAATGTGGTCTCTTTCAAAATAAGTTATAAAAATTGTATTAAGTGCCACAGAAAAGGGTCACCGACCATTCAAAGTGAATTTTTGTCATTTTATTCCCTGTAGGTTTGATAAGCCATAGTGTGCAAACCACAACTAACAGGTGTATCATAATTTTGTTGTAGAATGGACTAACCACGTAGTTGTTATGTTTTTAAAAATAAGGAGCGTGTTTTTGTGGTTATAAAATTAATTGATTTTGAAGTAAATTTTTTTACAAAAAATAATAATTGTACAGATTTAAGATCTCTTTGAGCCTGAAATAACTCACAATTTCGTGAGAATAGTTAAAATTGTACCCTCTTATGTTATAATGTCATCTGATATATTTTTAAAAAATAAGTTTTATTGGTTATTTAATAAAAACAAAATACGTCTCAGAGCCCTTGCTATAAAATTAATTGGATTTTACAATTTACTATTCAATCAAATAACACAATGTGACATTTGTCATATAAACAAAAAATAAAAAACTTCCCCATGACTTCCCTCAGCTTCCCTTTCCGGTTCTTTAAATATTTATTACTTCTGCTTAATTTTTGTTTTATTTTTATGATCTTATACAATATACTTAAATTCTCATCATTTTTATACCAAATTTTCTTTTGTAATTACATCTTGCACTTAATTACATTCCATATTATTATTTCTTGACCTTTAAACTTCAAAATCAATTTATACTCTATTCTAGAAAGAACAATTATTTGAGTTAATCCAGAAAATGTACAATTTGTGTAGTTAGAGTATGCAGATTGAAGCTATTGGCACTTATGACTATCTTAGATCCCATTGATTTCAGTGAGTCTGTTCTTAAGTATGACTAAATCTGGAGCTAATCCTTCGGGGGGTTTTAAAAATCAAATTACATTAACATTTTTATTGAAGTGTTCCTGTGAACTGAGGTTTTACATAAATGACATATTGACTTTTTGTTTAAGTTTGTTTTAGAAGGTAATTTCATGTCATTGTATATGATATTTTTATTAATCTAAATATAGATGAAGAAATCATGTACACTGATTTTAATTTTGTAAAATATTCTAGGTGGTTTCCCTTGTAGCCTGCATTTTCGAGTAAGGTTTTTTATACCTGATCCGAACACACTGCAGCAGGATCAAACCAGGTAAAAGTTCTGTGGTTATGTTTTAAGAACTGCTGACATCTCACATATCCTAGTATTATCAGTAAAACACCAGGTTTACAGTCATTTATCTATGGTTGGCACATAAACACCTGTATGATATAATTGTAAATTTAAAGTTGGTTGTTAAAGAACCTCAGAATATGCACCGGTAGATAAATACGACAATAGCAAAATGCTGTGTGTATTGGTCATCCGGTGTCAATTTAGACAAGAGCTGTTTATATTCAGCATGCCTTTTCTTAGTTTTAAATGTTGCAGGAGTTAGGTTTTCAATTTAGGTAATAATTAATCCTTCTCACAAATGTAGGAAAATGCTGCTTCTGCTCTAACCACAAAATGGTTTTAGCAGAACCTGTAAGATTAAATAGTTAAGGGATGCTGGAATAATACGCCCCCTTAGCAATATCCATCTAACTGCAATGGCACCATGAAGTGCAGAGTGCTCCAAAAATGTATAAGAATATATTGTTTATTATTATCAATAGGGGATATAAATTGTGAGCATTCTAGCATGATAGAATGTGCTCTTTGTTGCTGTTGTTTAGTCATTTAGTCATGTCCGACTCTACGTGACCCCATGGACCAGAGCACGCCAGGCACTCCTGTCTTCAGGAGAATGTGCTCTAGTGGAGCATTAATAATATTTGTTGGAGGTAATTAGATCCACACAGAATTATGGATTTGTGAAGTATAAGCTTAGTTATTTTTAGTGTTTTAAGATCAGGGAACTTTTTTTTAGTTTCAGGGCCACATTTCGTCATGGGCAACCTTCCCAGGGCCATATGCCCAGGATGGGAAGTGCCAGAGGAAAAAGTGGGTAAACAACAGATTTGACTCCTGTTTTTTGTAGTGTAGACTACATTCTAGACACAAAAAGCAAGGTATCTACATACACTTATCTTTCCACCCACAATCCATGCCACCAGGAGGCACTGTCACAGTTCACGGACACGCTCAGATGTTGAACTTCTAATTTATGTGTATAATCATCTTAATTGTCTCTATATTTATAGGGTGTCAAAGTAAATTAGGAAATATATGTTAAAATTACACAGATTCACAAGAGGCTTGATTAGTGAGATGTAAGAACTATTTTCAATTTGTTTTTTAGACATTTATTCTTTCTGCAATTGAAGGCTGACATTTTGGAAGGAAGGTAAGAAATCTTTATTAAAGTAGTTTGACTGGTTAGCTGTTGAAACACTCCAGGTTAAAAGTGGGGGAAAACTTCTCCATTGTGTTAAGAGGAAGAATGTCAAAAAAAATTAGTGTCTTTAAGCTTCTGTAGGAATTGAGTTTCATAAGGTATACATATTGAGTTAGATTTGCGTCCAGCACACTTCCCTGTGCCTCTGAGCCTTTGGCCTTCTCCCTGGCTCCAAGCAGAGTTTTGCAGCAGCGGTGTGTGCCTTGTGTAGGTGCAATAAGTAACAGTCCACACGCCAGCTTCTTCCTAATCTAAAGAAGCTGTAATGTATGTACAGCATAGCAAAAATAAATCATCCGGGAGATGGAGCAGACATCCTCCCAGTTTGTCAGCGGAAAAGGAAAGTAACTCACACACAAAGAACAAAAAACATTCCCCTATGTGAATAAGCCACACCTCAGTAGGTAGGGACGACACACAGAATTGTTTAACCCTGTAAGTTCTGATTCTCCTCACAATACAAGACTTATAACTGAGTTGCTAAAGGGGGCACTATATAAAGTTCATTAACCCATTGCAAATTTTCTCCTAAGTAAGCATTCTTCAAAGGGCACTGCTACTCATGTAAAATAACTTTGTGTGATAGGCACAGCGTGTGGGAGAGTTGTCTTTTGTGGACCTATGAAGCTACAACATAAGTTAACTTTTATTCAATATTTCTAGTATGTTGACAGTAAAACAATAGCAGATCTGTTTCACTGGTACATCTGACTGTTCATAATTTTCATTTTCAATATGTTGGATAGCTTTACCCAGTTTTTAATAAGTGTAAATTTGTTCTTGATTTCCAAAACAAATGTGAAACATAATTACCTATTTTTAAGGTTGTTGTTGTGAAATGTGTCACTACAATGTGCTGGTGTTCCAGGTAGGTATGCTGTAAAGATTGTGGATGCATTCACACAGTATTGTCTCTCTCAGCTGCCTGAAAGGTGCTTTAGGCATGAAATACGGGAGAAAAACAAAATAAATAAAATTGCTTTTGTATATGAAAACACCTTGATCTGATGAAGGGGTAATAGTTTTAAAGTTAGAAACCATAGTTTTAATAACAAATTACAATAATTGCCATAGATATTTTGTGATGCTTGGTGGATGTGTAAGTGCATTCTAAATATATTGGCATATAATGTTTGAGCTGTGACATTTACCTATAGTTCAGACAGAATGTTATCAACATATTTCAATTTTTCCTTTCAGGTTGTTATGCCCTGTTAATTCAGTTGTGGTACTTGCATCATATGCAGTTCAGTGTAAGTTGTGATGTATATTAGTAAAATATTTGGTCCTATTTCACTATTTCTTTGGTCCCTATTGGTCTGTACTCCAGTCAGATACACACACACACACACACACACACACACATGCTAGTTTCGTAACAGGCTCATCACTGTTTTGGAATCTTTAGCTCTTATTCTTGGAAAATATTACAAAGCTTGTCTGAGAATGGAGTTCTCCCTGAACAGATCAGGTTTGGTGGTAAAGCATTTCTGCTATCTAAGTAAGATTGTGTTTATATAAATGATAGTGAGAAAATATCTAACAAAAAAAGAAGAGGGGGGAGTGAAGGAAAAATACAGCTTCCTTGGAGATGTTACTGCTGATCTGAAAGTTATAGTTCTTCAATAATTGAAGAAGAAGAAGAAGAAGAAGAGTTTGGATTTGATATCCCGCCTTTCACTCCCTTTAAGGAGTCTCAAAGCGGCTGACATTCTCCTTTCCCTTCCTCCCCCACAACAAACACTCTGTGAGGTGAGTGGGGCTGAGAGACTTCAGAGAAGTGTGACTAGCCCAAGATCACCCAGCAGCTGCAGGTGGAGGAGCAGAGACACAAACCTGGTTTCCCAGATTATGAGACTACCGCTCTTAACCACTACACCACACTGGCTCTAATTAAAATTAAAATTATTTATTCAAGACAGTGGGATGCATCCAGTGATGGCAGCTTTGCATTAGTGGAAAATGATCAGTTTATGCAATGTGGGACACCCAATTTTTGTCTTTCCTTCTACTACAGCCTTCTGCCATGTCCATGCAGCTTTGTAGGGTCCTTTAACTCTCAGGAGCAGATTTTTGAAGGATATTGGAATTTGCACTGGGAGTGGGGGATCAGTAATACTCAGGTGCCCTGTTTTGTGGACATAGGCTTTCTTTCTGTAAGTCAAAGTTGTAGTTGGATATAATCCAGTGGTTTCCTCTACATAAATAGGGTAATTGTGTTACCACCTATTACTACTGTTGTGAATGGTCATTCTGCTTATCTTGTATATCTTTAAACTTACATAGAATTGTCAGAAACTGCACATCTTCATTTCATTCCTATTTGGTTCATTGTTTGCAGTTTTTAGATTTTCACATTCACATGAAGTGGGTCTCTGGTCCATGAGTTTTCACAACAATAATTCTTTCCATCTCTGAGGTGCCATAAGACTGCTCTTTGAGCAGTATTTAGCTTAATATAACACATTTGAAGGATTTTAAACATGTGTCTTGTGAAGAAAGATATCATGAAACTTTAATGGACATGGGCTATAGTTGATTTCAGGTCCTGTTGTATTCAGGAAATGCCTGGTGCCTATCATCTCTGGTTATATGTTGGTAATATAACTTTAAAATTATGGAAACAAAGTTATGCCTGATTTGTAATGCAACCTCTCTTGTATCATTTCTTCACCAACATCTTGCTATAAGATAGATAAAATATACAGCCTGCAGAGGTCCCTTGTAGCTCACCCAAGGAAGTTCCTTGGTTCATTGTTTCTAACACTTGCTTCACTTATTGTGCAGGGTGACAGAAAAAGGTGTTATTAATAAGATATCCAAAAAAAATGCCGCCACCACAATTTTTGGGCTGTGAAGGAAGAATAGGGAACACACTTTCCTGCAACTGTTGTCATATACAATGTCAGTATTGGGAAAGGTGAGCATACTTAGTCCAAAAAGGCTTGTCTGTCCCATCTCCGAGGCCTGGTGGGTTTAATTAGGCCCCACCACCTGCATGGTCAATGTCATTCAAATTTGCTTATCCGTAATAAACGTTTGATGGTTTTAGCATAGAGGCTGAGAGAGAGAGTGGTTTTTCTTAAGGTCACCTAGAGTGCAGTCCTCTGCACAAGATTCATAGAATTGTAGGGCTGGAAGGGACCCTGCATTGCAGGAATATGAAACTGCCCCATATGGGGATCGAACCTGCAACCTTTGTGTTGCAGCACCACACTCTTAACCAGCTGAGCTAACCAGCTGGTGCCAATGTTTACTCCAAAATAAAAAAATGGTATGTGGGAGATTTTCCATTTACCTTGCTTGGAAAGTGTTAATGTTAAGCAAACTTTATTCAAGTTAATGTTTAACTATTCAACGTTGTGTCTAAACTTGTTAGCATGATCAGTTTGACCTGCTATCAAATTTCAGCAGTCTCTGCACTAACAGCATATACAAGGAACATTATTAGCCAAGTAAATGTTTATACTGTGCAGCCTTAGTTCTGTTTTTAAAGTTACAGTAGTTGCCATTGATTCAGAAAGCTAGCTATGTAGAGACTTTATCAATAGTTAACAGTTCCTATTTCAGAGAGGTTATGAATGCCTATTCACATAATGTTGAGGACCTTTAGTTGTTTGGAACAGTTGGAGTTGCTGCTCAGGACAATTTCTGGGTTGTCTGGATTGACAAATCATAGTAGTTGCCACCTCTATCGGTGTTGTGCTGCCTCTAAGAACTTCTGCAGGGTGGAGATGGGAGTGCAGAAAGATGGAATATGACTGACAGGATGGAAAACAGAAAATAGTTCAGTTTAGTTTCAGTTGCAACTGAGGTTATTCCAGTTTGGTTCCAGTTGAGCCCTCTAAAGGTTCACTAACCAGTTCAGAGCATAGTTCAGTTCATATGAGAATATTTAAATATAAAAGTACATTAAGCCATTATTATTTAAACATTTAAATAATATTTAATATTTAAATATAAGGCCACACTTGAAATACAGTACAGTAAGCCCTCAACTTACACAGATTTAACTTGTGTGTATTCAACTTTATGCGCTTGAGAAAAGTTTTTTAAAAATTAAAAAGGGGGCAGTTAAGTCCAGGAAAAAAGACTTTGGAGCCAATGTGTGGTTTTTTTGTTGTTGTTTTTTGCAAATTAATTTTTTATTGATTTTCAGTAAACATACATACATTCATTTATGAATGTGTTTTAACTAATACAGTGGTACCTCAGGTTAAGTACTTAATTCGTTCCGGAGGTCCGTTCTTAACCTGAAACTGTTCTTAACCTGAGGTACCACTTTAGCTAATGGGGCCTCCTGCTGCCGCCACCGCCCGATTTCTGTTCTCATCCTGAAGCAAAGTTCTTAACTTGAAGCACTATTTCTGGGTTAGCAGAGTCTGTAACCTGAAGCGTATGTAACCTGAAGTGTATGTAACCCGAGGTACCACGGTATGTGATTATGGTTTCAGGCATCATCCCTGGAACATAACCCCCAAATATGTTGTGGGCTTACTGTACCTTCTTTTTTCAAAGGGCAGGGGGAATACAGAATGTCCTCTTCTCAGTTTCACATGTTTTGGCTCCATAATTTTCTCCCTGCTTGTTCCAGTTGTCTTAAAACATGATACTTCCTGCATTTGACAATCAAAGCAGAATAATTCTCAACTGGTTTTAAAGCCAGAAGGAACCTCCAATCCTAAATATGAGTGGGATCTCAACTGGTTTGATCGTTTCATGGTGGGAACTTTACAGATCTGTGACATAGAGGATTACTACAAACAACTGGATATTCTGTGGAAATCTAGGACCAGCAGCAGATTGAACTAGGTTTTTAATTCCTAATGATAGGGCTCTTTTGAGTTCAATTTTAAATGCAACTTTTAAATTCAGTTAATTTAAATTCAGTTTAACATAATTTGTATGCTGCTTTATCATCAAAGGTATCAAGCATTTTTATATAAAATATACATTGAAAAGGCTGATTTTATGAAATAGTGAAAATTAACCTTTTATTAAACTAGGTAACATAATAGAGGGCCTAAACTGTTAAATCTATGACTCTTACTTAGAAATGGGTGTCTGCCAATCCATAAAATCACTGCTCTTTGTTTACATTTAGGACTGTTCATTACCTTTGATTTTAGGTATACTTCCTGTCTCTGACCCTTATTCATCTTTGAACCAAGTATTGCGTTGGCATGCTATTCCTATCTGTATTTTCTCACATATCTCAATGGAAGAAAGTGGAGCAATATTAGGAACTTCTGTAGGAGTTACGTGACATTATTCATTCTGCCATTTGTGTAGAGTAAGATTTTGTTAAGCACCTTTGCATTTGCATTAAGAAAACAATTATCATGTGTGTTCTTTTATTTCTCATCCCGCCACCCACCCACCTACCCCAAAAAAGCTCAGCTTGGAGACTACAATGGTTCCACCCATCTTCCAGGATACCTTTCAGAGTATTGCTTTATTCCAGAGCAAAATCAAGATTTCACAACCAAAGTTGAATCGCTGCATGAACAGCACAGGTATTGTTTTCTGAAATAGTAATATATACAGTGGTACCTTGGGTTACATACGCTTCAGGTTACAGACTCCACTAACCCAGAAATATTACCTCGGGTTAAGAACTTTGCTTCAGGATGAGAACAGAAATCGTGCAACGGCAGCGGGAGGCCCCATTAGCTAAAGTAGTGCTTCAGATTAAGAACAGTTTCAGGTTAAGAACAGACCTCCATAACGAATTAAGTTCTTAACCCGAGGTACCACTGTATTGTGATATATACATAAATGGATAATTTGCATGAAGTATAGAATTTAAATGTGATTCAGATTATTAATTCACAGCATATTGTATATTCAGACTTCATACTGTAGGCTCCCAGTAATTGGCAAAGATATGTTAGTTCTTGGACTATAAGACACATTAATAAAAATGGTTCCAAATGTGGGGATTTTTATATTTTTAGAAATTTGGCAGCCCCAAACCTGTATGCATGAGATACCCAGATGTGCTGGGTGAACTGATGACTATTAAGTGACATTGGTTCTACTTACACACCGGAGAGAATAGGTACCAAAAATTCTGGAAATTTTGAGTTTTCCTAAAAGTTTTGGCTGCTAATTTACTACTCTATTTCTGCTTCAAAATAGGAGTGCATCTCATTGTATGACAATACTAACACTCAGTTTCATTATATGGGAAACAAGTCCTTTGATTTTTGGAGGTACATAGATCTGCCCCCAGTAATAGAAACTTAAACTGTAGATGTATTTCTACATAATGACTGTAGGTGAATCCATCATGAGATTACCCCATGATTGAAAGGTGGAAAAAGAGTTCATATTTTTCTTTGAATGTGTACCTTGAATTGATTTTCATAATGGTACTTAAAGTTTCTGTTATAGATAAATTACTTTCCAATTAGGATTTTATTGCCTTTAATACCTTATTGGTTTTTTCCCCTAGGGGCCTCAGTCAGTCAGAAGCAGAGTCCTGCTACATTAATATAGCAAGAACACTTGAATTCTATGGAGTAGAATTACACAGTGGTAGAGTATGTTTACAGTTCTTTTTTATATTTAGAGCAACTTGTACTTAAACTTATTTTTTTAAAAAATCATACATACCTTAATATTAAAATAGCTAAGATAGAGGAAAATGCTCTTTTTTGCACCTAAAGCAGCTAAGCATAAAAAACTTCTATTTCTTATACACCTTTATAACTTAGTTTCTTAAGCAGGACTTGTTGTCCTTTACTTTTAACCATGTTAAAATATGGATTTGAGAAAAACTTGCAATATTGCCAATTCTCACCTGAGATTTTAATATATTCTTCTGCCTTTTTTATTTATAATTGACATTGCAAGAAGCATTCTCGGTGGCATGAGTCAGTTGCTTCTATAGAAAGCTTCAGTTAAGCTACAGTTTTAGACTGAAATGTTTACTTGCATAGTATGGGCTGCCTTGGAATTGGGTGCTCAGCAGGATTTTTGTGACGTGTGTGTATGTATGCATGTTTCTGGGGAAACACACCCTCCCAGTCCTCACCATATTGCCAACTGTTTTTGAAAGTCCTTTCAGTTTTAAATTTGGGGTTGCTATGTGGTGAAGAATTCCTGTTTGAGGAAACACCAACTTTAACTTTCCTTCCATATGCAGACATAGTCATCCATTTCTTTGGATTTCAACTCCAGTAAATGGCATCATAACCAGCACCCACTGACATCTAAGCTACAATGCATACTCACAGTAATAACAGCATGCAAAAACTCTGGCATATCTGGTATTTGTGTGTTTTAATTAAGCAAGTCTGGGTTGTTTCTCCCAAATACAGAAATTGGTCAGCTCCTTTTTATGTAAGACATCCAGTTCTTTATCCCCCATCACACAGAGAGAAATTCAGAGTCACACTTCAATGTATCCATTTGTAGAATAGGATTCTTAGTTCTTTAATTTACCAGTTTTTCCTGTGGTTCTTACTTTTAGGATCTTCATAATCTTGATCTTATGATTGGAATTGCTTCAGGAGGTATTGCTGTATATAGGAAACTCATTTGCACAAGCTTCTATCCTTGGTAAGATACTTGGGGTGTGGGTGGGTGTATAAAGTTTTAAGACTGAACATGAAAATAACAAATCTCTCATTTTTAAATAATACCCATAAAGACCACTACTGAAGATGGAAGGTGTTGAGATTGAAGTCTATTTAGAAATCCAGCCCTCTAATGCTTGGTGTGTGGAACTGAGCCATGGTTACATGTGAAGTTGCTTCTTACTGAGTCACATCACTGGTCTATCTAGTCTCATTTATTTTCTACTGTGACATCTTTATCAGCCTCACTATCTGAAATCATTTTTAGTTGGATATTCTACTGTCGTGTGTTTTGGATCTTGTGCATGCAAAGGTTGTTGTTTACCACTGAGCTACGCCCCTTCCTATTGTTTGTTTCTGAGCTGAGCTGCTCTGCAAATGCTCAGGCATTCTCTTTAATATCATTATTACTTAATACTTTTGTTCAGGTTATAAATTTCCCCCTATTATACCTAGAGAGAAATCAGGAGTTGGGTTTTTGATCTCAGGTGCTTCTCCATCGTTCTTGTCCCCACAGACGGCAGTGACCAACTGAACTGGGAATCCAGTGTTGTTTGAACATTGAAACTTGGTGACTCTGAGAAACAAAATCAGTGTTAGAACTTAAGGCTTGCTTTCGTTTCCCCCCAGATACATTTATTTTGACAGCAGGGAGATAATTTCTGAACCAGACCCCAAGTAATTGCTGACTCACATTAAACCTTGAAGGTGTTCTGCAAAACCCCAAATCAATTTGGAGAAGATACATCCACTTTGATACCTCTGGAGCAAATAGTTATTGTGTTAGATCTAATGTTATTGACTTGAAACTCTTGTATAATTCAAGTGAGCAATATATATATCACAATATTCAAACCAGATTAAGGGACATTAAAAAACGAAACATCAAATCAGCTGTAAATAAAATGTTTAAATATCTGCCCTTGATAAAAGTTGAGGGGGAAATATTCAATTGGGCTAACATAAAGGCCCTACGTTGGACTGAAATTATTAATTTTGAAATAAAATAAAATAATAAAATAAATAAAAAGCCTTACCAGTTGCAAGAACAGAAAAAATCATGATTGCTGGGGTACATAAAGGGTAAAGGGACCCCTGACCATTAGGTCCAATCGCGGACAACTCGGGGGTTGTGGCGCTCATTTCACTTTATTGGCCGAGGGAGCTGGCGTACAGCTTCCGGGTCATGTGGCCAGCATAACTAAGCTGCTTTTGGCAAACCAGAGCGGCACATGGAAATGCTGTTTACCTTCCCGCCGGAGCAGTACCTATTTATCTACTTGCACTTTGACGTGCTTTCAAACTGCTAGGTTGGCAGAAGCAGGGACCGAGCAACAGGAACTCACCCCGTCGCGGGGAATCAAACCACCGACCTTCTGATCAGCAAGCCCTAGGCTCTGTGGTTTAGACCACAGCGCCATCCGCGTCCCGGTGGGGTACATAATCATGTTTCTTTTCCATGTCAATTTTCTCTGTGTTCATTCATAAACCAATTCTTTCCCATTAATCTGTGATTTTTAAAAAATTATCACAAAATAAAGTTGTGCCACAAAATTCAGAGAAGTGCAAAATCCAAAGTATAATTACGTTTTAATCTGCATGTCATCTACAGCGTGCAGATCAGGTCAGTTTGCATTGGAATTCACAAATACCAAATTCCTCAGGCATTCATACTGATTGCAATAGGAAGCTTGTTAGTACTTCTGTGGACAGCCCATTATAATGGAATGTGCCACACCTGTAACCCATGGATGTGCACAGCAACCTTTTAGATTGAGGAATGCAAAGAATGGTTGTTCCTAGACTCAGGTCTGTCTTTTGATGGGCATGTAGTCCAAGCTTGCTTGACAGTATTGTCAGCTGGTTTTGATGGATGAGGCTTGTTAGAGCAGAGCGTAGGAGTCTTGTCAGGAATTGTGCAATCCAATCCAATCCTGTTTCCTAGAAACAATTGTTTGTGTTGTGAAATTGCGGACTGCACCCAATACCTTTAGTGTGTAATTACCTCTATTTTATTTCCATGCAAAATTTGAAAGTAACATTTTTATTGCTTACCTACAAATTGTAAGGATATTGCTTGAGTGGATTGCACAGGAAAGCACTTTTGAATGTAGCCTCTCCCTTTCATTTCAAATTTTGCTTCAAGCTTATGGTAGTGATAATGATTTTCTGAGAAATGAGAATGTTTTAGTTAATTATAGCTACGTATTTTTCGCCCCATAGGGTGCACCGCCTCATAGGGCACACCTAGTTTTTTTGGGGGGGAAATAAAAAAAATATTTTCCCCCCCAGGCGCAGGGCTGGGGCGGGGGAAGCCCGAGCTTCCCCCAACCCCAGCCCCCAGAACAGGCTGCTCTCTGCAAGCCGTGGGAGCCCTCCCACGGCTTGCGGAGAGCTACCTGAAGCCCGGGGCGCGACTGCTCAGCGTGCCCCAGGCTTCGGGATAGAGGCAGCTCTCCGCAAGCTGTGGGAGGGCTCCCGTGGCTTGCCAGAGCTACCCGAAGCCCGGGGCGTGACTGTTCAGCGCGCCCCAGGCTTCGGGATAGAGGCAGCTCTCCACAAGCCCTCTCACCCTCCAGGCTTCAGCGAAAGCCTGCATTCGCCCCATAGGACGCACACACATTTCCCCTTCATTTTTGGAGGGGGAAAAGTGCGTCCTATAGGGCGAAAAATACGGTAGTTACTTAGATTTTAGTTCCTGTTTTAGATATAATGGAGCCCTTCTGAATAGTGTGACAAGGTGTGGGGCTGCTGACTGGGGTGGAGGTAATTTCCCCTTCCCCAGCAACATCCCACATGGTTCAGGAGGGCCTCTCGATTCTGCAGAAAGGCTTGAGAGGGAAGGGGAGAAAGGAAACTTCCCTTATGTGAACCTTCTAAGTTAACTTAATTTACAATCCAAGCATTGAGTCTGATGTGCATTATTGTACCTGTATTTTCTATCAATGTTTGTTTTGATTGTGTTATGTTTTTAGAGTATGATATAGTATAACTTGTTCCTTTTCAGGGTGAACATAATAAAAATTTCGTTTAAACGAAAGAAGTTCTTTATCCAGCAGCGACAGAAACATGTGAGTATAGTTTGTTTCTCCCAGCCACCCCACCCCTAGACTTTTTTACAATTAACCTCCAATCTTGCCACAAGATGAAGCAATGAATTAAAGGCCATGTCTATGAGTTGGAAAACAAGGTGTACAGAGATCCTTCTTATGGTGCATATTTCATAATACATTGATGATATGTGAAGCTAATTGCTGTAGAGGCGATTGATGTTTGGACGGAATACTTGATCAGAGATTTTCTTCCTACCCTGTGCCCTGCACCTGTTTTTTCATTCAAAGAAAAGATGTAATAAGATCTGATCATTAATTTGATCAAGTCAGCATGGTAGTCGGCTTAATTAACAGCAACTGTGCCTCTGTGGGAACACATGAATTCAGGGTTCTAGCTATCAGAGCTTCTAATTAGCTGGGAATCTCTGGGTCAGTTGCTGGGCCAGTTTCTTGGGTTATTCCTTTATTCTATGCTTCACACTGTGCTGCTTGTTCCTGTTGTGTGGGGCCATGTACCTTGCAGGCTAGATCAGCTAGGTTTGTTGTTTTATTCTGACTTGTATTTTTATGCACTGTAAATAAAACACCTCACTTAAATTTGGTGTGCTCTTTTCTGGAAATCCTGGGTCCCTAATTGCAGTGTTTTGGACTTTATGGTTAACTGCTTCTGTATAGTTGGAAGGCTCTGGTTTGATTTTTGTGCCGACTTAAGCCAAATAAGTTTCCTGACTCCCTAAGCTTGGTGGCCAGACAGTGTTAACATTATTGACATAATAATAGTTCATTGATAGCTGATTTGTTCTGCTTTAATGGTGGTTGTCCAATGCTTCCCTAATGCTACTGCAGTATTGCTGTCCTGAAGAGCCATAGGGGCCTATAGCATAACAAAAGCCGGCCAGTACCCCTCACTCCCCCATATATTTGTGGCATAAAAAGTTATGCTATTTCAGCAGGCTGTTGCAGGATATGCATTGATTGGAAATGAAGCAGTATGAAACACTGCCCCCAACACATATTTATATAAAGTGGAATTACGTATAGCTGCCCCCAGAGCATCAGGAGCACACATCATTAAGGATGTGCAATGAAAAGAATATCTGGAGAAGCCCTTAGAGTGAAAGCATGTGGAATATAGCAGTAAACACTTTAGACATTTTTCATGTGGTTTATTTCTAAATCTGATCCATACAAATTCTCTGCTGATGTCCCTAGAGATTTGTAGCCAAATACATATTTTCTTTTACAAGTAAGTGTCTGGTGTCTACTGGTGATCATGCTGCAGATTTCTGCTTTGTAGAAAAGTGTTACAAAAGCAGCTTTAAATTAAAGCCAATATGGCATGTCCTACAAAGTGGCAGATGGATCAGATTTCTTCATAGTGAAAAATGTTAACCTTAAGCATTGTTTGCTGTCTCATTGACTGATGGGTTCAATAACTCTTCCTTTATTTACAAAAAAATAAACTATAATAATTTCTGCAGTTTTATTCAGTCTGTCCACGTTCATTTTATTTCAGTACTTCCTTTGGCAGACCAAGCTATAATTGTTCAGAAGAGTTTGCTACCATTTTCCTCTGTCCAATTTTTCTGGCCCTCTACCTCAAATCATTGTAAAGCGCTCAAGGCAATCTATGGAAAGGGAAGGGGAGAGCTGGGAGAATATTTGGAACCTATTGAAATATATACAAAAGCTTGTACAAATCTGACAATATTGACACTGTTACCACAGATATATGTTGGCAGAATTGTTTTTCTGTTGCAAGCAAACAGTATTATGAGGCCATCTTGCAGCAACAGGGAGAATTGCAACATTTGTTGTACAGCTTATTTGGAACTATCCCCACAGTCTGTACATGTGGAAAGCAGCTATTACCCAGTACAGCTAAGCACCAGGAACATGTAACCATACATCTGTATTTGCATCTGTAAATTCTACTTTAAGTCAAAGCTGAAAATACATCATATATTTCCGTTTCAGTGTTAACATTTACAGATTGGTCTTGCCTTGTATATAAAATTCTTGTAAGACAGTGGTCCCCAGGAACGCCCAAACTTTGTGTAACTTCATCAGAGGCTAACTTCATCAGAGGCCTTGTGAGCTGCTCCAGTAAGCTCACAAGGCCAAGGGATGAGAGCCAACAAACTGAAGCTCAGGCTAGATAAGATAGTGTTTGCTTCTCTAGACTGAGTGGATGGGAGGGTGTCTGCTCTTGATGGAGGTATACTCCCTTTGAAGGAGTAGGTATGTAGCTTGGGGGTATTTCTGAAGCTCAGGTGGCCTCAGTGGCACAGGTGACTTCTGTCAGCTTCAGCTGGTGGCCCAGCTGTGCCCCTATCTGGACAGGGATAGCCTAACTTCTCTTGTCTGTCCTGTGGTAATCTCTTGCTGTAGTAACCTCTTACCGCAATACTTTGTACATATTCTAATTATTGATTAGAATAATTATAATAATTCCGATACATATTTTATTGTTACAGAATGAATCCAGGGAACACATAGTTGCCTTCAATATGCTAAACTACCGAGCATGCAAAAACCTGTGGAAATCTTGTGTGGAGCTTCACACATTTTTCCAGGCAAAGAAGATGCTACCTCATGAGAAGTTACTTTCCCATTATTGGACCACGAGTTCTAGAACACCAACCAAGTGAGTATGAGCTCCTAAACAGAAAACTTCTGAATGTAATTCTGAAACCCATTTACATAAAGGTAAAGGTACCCCTGCCCGTACGGGCCAGTCTTGACACACTCTGGGGTTGTGCGCCCATCTCACTCAGAGGCTGGGGGCCAGCGCTGTCTACATATATTGCCGTTTACATATATAATACTTAATACTTAATACTTAAAACAGTTTTGTGAATAATTTAAGGCTGATTTTGTAAATTTTTGGTTGACTTCCCAGCACATCACTAGAAGCCTGGAAATTGTCCCACAGGGAAGCCAGGGGAGTCTGTTAAAATTGGAATGGGTCAATTCTAAGGAAACAAAGAAATGAACTTTAAAATAACTGATAGTGTGGAACACAGCAAGGGCTAGCCTGGACTATATTTGGCATGTGTCCGACAACTAGTTTAATGAAACTTGATGTTCTTGATGTTCTCTGTGCAGTTCCGCATTACAGGTTCTGTTCTCTTGTAGAGCTGCAATCAGAACTTTTGGCAGAAAGATGAGCATTTTGAAGGGAAGCCCGTCCCCCTTCTGAGTGCATGCAGTAAAGGGGTGTAGCTCCCACTTTCTCTCCTGCAACTTTTTGACTTCCACCGCAGCAGCATTCTAAAGAACTTCTGTTTAATGCGTTGCTCTTCAGAGTGTGAACTAGATTTTTCTTCTTTTCTCTCTTTACTCAGTTTCCCAGAAGCTGTGGAGTTGGTAGTTTTCCTTGTTATAAACCTCAGTTTGGCCAATACAGTAGCGATTCCTAGTTCTGGTGCTGGTGAGAATTCTCCTTAGTATAAATAATATTGTTTCCCAGCTACCACAAGCCAGGTCACAAACTTCTCTGGAGTCTGATCACAGAGGAGGATTAGCTTTTGAAGGGAGAGTTGGCAGACATTGACAGGTTACTTTACATCCAGGCTGTTTCCAGTCAGTCTATCCAAGACATGTTGCATGCTGCTGCTCATGGAGAACAAGCTGGAAGGAAAGTACAAAGTCTGTCAATATCCAAAAGAACTAAAGGGGTGTTTCTGCAGGGCACCTCTTGACAAAGTACATTTTCCTGAGTCCTTCATCAGGATTTGAAAGGCCAGTTGGGACATCGGCAAGGCTTACCAGGCATGGGCTGGATCACTCCCGCGGAGATCCTCCGTGGGCCGGGCCGGCGCAGTGTAACACCGGAAATCGCGTCTGCGCATGTCCATGGTGCCTGAAATCGCACCTGCACAGAAGCGATTTCCGGCACCGCAGACATGCGCAGACGTGATTTCCGGCATCTGCAGACATGCGCAGAAGCGATTTTCTGGGCCATGGAAGAGAGTTGCTGCACCACGCTGTGACAGTTTAGCGCAGTGCATGGGGACTCGCTGAGCAGGCGGCTTGGTTCGGGGGCGGCTTGTGGGCCGGTTAAACGGCCTCCGTGGGCCGCTTCTGGCCCATGGGCCTTAGGTTGCCGACCCCTGAGCTAGAGGCAGTCTGCTTAATTGTTTGGTTAAATACAGCTCTGCTTGCTTCCACAAAGCATCATCAAAGTTCTGCTGCTGGATGTTTCTGTGGCAGTGCTGATTTCTAATGATTTCATTAAATTTTTATAGAGATATAGTTTTAAGTGGAAGGGATCTTTCTGTTTTTCCAGTCTGATCTGGGAGGGCAGAGGCATCCTTCTCTGTGGAGGAGGCAGTACAAGTCATTGGCTCTGCTCAATGAGCTAAGGGCAGAGAGCTTCCTGAAGAATTAAAATGTCCTCTGGGAGTTTAGAGAACATGAATTTCCAGTAAGAATTTCCTCTTTCTGCACCTAAAATAAAGATTTATTATGCACAAAGTACTTTGTCTAAAGTATGTTGTTTTATTTCAGATCTTCTAACAATCATTACTGCAAAAAAGTAATAGGTGGTATGATTTGGAATGCAGCTATGAGGAGATCTTTGTCAGCTGAACACCTAGAGACCAAAAGTCTTCCTTCTCGGTCTCCTCCAGTTACCCCAAACTGGTAAGAATTATCTTTTTTATCTTCCATAAAATGGGAAGGGACATGAGCACAAGGCAAAGTTTTATTTATGTCAAAATTTATTTTTGATGTGATTAAGATCTCTCTTAAAGATGAATAATAAAGATTCAAAATAGATACTGGTGTATTTCAAAATGTTACTGCAATTATTTCCAATACTCGGTGCTTGGTTGTCGGATATGGCTTTTGATTCAACAGCGTCAATATGTGAGGAAGTAGTGGAGGGGTTCTTTCTCCCACAATTCTAAAATATAAAGACTGACTTCCTGACTCTAGAAGGAGGAGCCTATCCTAAGTAGTTGTGATACTTGCTTGAAGTTAAACAGAATTTCACATTCTGTTTTTCTACTTAAAAGTAGAAAATTGTGCTTAGATTGCAATTCTGTGTATGCTAATCTGCGTGTAAGCCTCATTGAACACAATAGCATTTATTAATGAGTAAACACATTTCTTCTATATAGGTTTTGTCTGTGGTCCGTTCTGCATGTTTATAGCTCATGTCTACTTGGAATAAATGGGCTTTGAATTTTAAAAATATTATTAAACAAGTGATAAAATAATTGTAGCCTCTGAGTGTGTGTTATAATATATTAAGCTTCTCATATTTTAAAAAAGTTTAAGAAAGATACTATCACAACTAACTTCTGAATCCTACCTCTTTTAAGGCGAAGTCCTAGATTACGTCATGAGATTCGTAAACCACGACACTCATCTGTAGATAACCTTGCAAATGAGATTTCCTATATAACTGAAACAGAAGATGTGTTTTACACCTATAAAGTTTCCCCAGCTTCCAAGGATAGTGATTCAGAGTTGTCCCAGAGTCGCAGCCCATGGAGAAGGTAAATAACCTCTACAAACAGTGATTTCAGTGCTACTCTGCCCTGATAATTGGTAAACAACAAAATTAAGATATTTCATATTAAATATTTCAGTAGAAAAGAATAATGCTAGTAACGAAGACTGATACCATAACCCTGAGTATTTAGTCAGAAGTACCAAATTCCTAATTGGAGACATCACTAATGCATTTGTTTTTATTTATTAAATCTGTATACTGCCCTTCATCTGAAGGACTCAGGATGGTTCACAGCATAAAAATAAAAGATTAAAAAATACACAAAAAACAAGAACAGGCAGAAACCAATATCCTTACAAACACATTTAAAAGGATAGGATGTCAATCAGCCGAAGGCCTGGTTGAAGGGGAACATTGACGCCAGGCAAGCCTCCCTACAGAGAGCATTCCACAAGTGGAGCCACCGCAGAAAAGGTTTCATGTTGCCAGGCATCTCATCGAGGAGACACTCAAAGAAAGGGCCTCAGATGATGATAACAGGGTCTGGGTTGATTCATATGGGGAGAGGCGGTCCTTGAGATATTGTTGTCCTGAGCCATTTAAGGCTTTATAGGTCAAACCTAGTGCTTTGAATTGGGCATGGAAACTGATTGGCAATCAGTGCAGTCAGTCCAGAATTGGTGTAATATGCTCAAACCACATTGCCACAGTGAGCAACCTGGTCTCTGATTTCTGCACCAGCTGAAGTTTCTGAACCATCTCCATTGGCTTCCTTATGTGTAACACTTTGCAGTAATCAAACCTGGAGGATACCACAGCATAAACAGAAGTTAGGCTATTCTTGTCCAGTTAAGGGTGCAGCTGGGCCACCAGCCGAAGTTGATGGAAGGCACTGAGGCCACCTGAGCCTCAAGAGACAGCAAAAGATCCAGAAGTAGTCCCAAGAAGTACCTGCTCCTTCAGAGGGAGTGTAGCTCCTTCAAGAGCAAGCAGCCTCGCATTCATCTGCTCTCGGGAACCATCCACTAACAGTGCCTTAGCCCTTACGTGGAGTGAGCTACAGTTTGTTGGCTCCCATCCAGTCCCTTACTCATCCAAGCAAGACAGTGGTCCAGCACATCCACTGCCTCACCTGCAGATGTAAAGGAGACTTAGAGCTATATGTCATCAGTGTGACAATGTACTCCAAACCTCCGGATAACCCCACTCAGCGATTTCATGTACAGTGGTACTTCCGGTTGCGCACGGGATCCGTTCCAGAGCTCCAGTCAGATCCTGAGGAATTCACAACCGGAGGTGCCTCTTCTGTGCATGCGCGTGGTGCAGTAGAGCACTTTTGCACATGCACGCTCGGTGAAACCTGCAAAAATACTTCTGGGTTTGCCGCGTTCGCATCCTGAAGGATACGCAACCACAGGTGTACATATCCAGAGGTACCACTGTAGATGTTAAACAGCACAGGGGTTAAAATCGAACTCTGAGGAAACACACACTGAAGATTCCATGGGACCAAAGAGCACTCCCCAAGCATCACGCTCTGGAAATTACCATCTAAATAGCACCGGAAACACCACAAAGCAGTTCCACCCTACTGTACTGTTGGTTTCTTTGCTTTTTTGCATTCACATATGTGCTATGCATGCAGTGAAATGCTCAATGACTTAAGCAGCATATAAGCTGCATGTTCTTAGTTTAAAAATGCAAAATCTGTACCATAGAAAGTTAAATCTTATACTTAAAATAAATTTTTGTATAAAGATATTTGAGGATTCATAGGATCCAAATATTGCATGGAACACCTATCAAATGGTGGTTGGGGTTGGAACTCAGGGAATGATGGAAATCTTGGGCCCAGTTCATACCCCTATTATATAAACAAGCACAGGGAAACAGAAGGCATATGTCATTCCCATTTCTGCTTTTTCTATCTGTTGTTCACATCCAAATCAGCCTTTGGGGTTCATGAAACGAATAGACCCAGATGGCAGTGTGAGTGAACAGAATATTTTCTTCGTTTCTTCAAGGGCATAAGAACACTGTATGAGTGAATTTTGATAAATTAGTTATTTTCCTTGCATCCTTTTAAGAATGTACTGTATATGTTTTCTGCAACAGTTACAATTTTTAAAATGGAACATGTAATTCGCCTAGATTTTGAAACAGTGACTCTAGAGAGACAAATGAGTGTCGCTTAAATGATTTTGTAGAGTACCAGTGCAGTTTGTTCTACAGTGGTACCTCGGGTTACATACGCTTCAGATTACAGACTCCGCTAACCCAGAAATAGTGCTTCAGGTTAAGAACTTTGCTTCAGGATAAGAACAGAAATCGTGCTCCAGCGGCGCGGCAGCAGCAGGAGGCCCCATTAGTTAAAGTGGTGCTTCAGGTTAAGAACAGTTTCAGGTTAAGTACAGACCTCCGGAACGAATTAAGTACTTAACCCGAGGTACCACTGTATACGTGTTTTGAATTTACATGTGAATGCCTGAATAATTTTTAGTCTCATAGAAGAAAGAGTCTTGTCAAGTTTTGCTTTCTGCATAAAATCAAACTGATGAGCTTTTGATACTTAGTTTTTGAATACACCATTTCTCTACTACTTAAAATCTTTGTTATAAAACATTTTGTTTAATTATCCTTTGCTTGTGTGTGTTTTCTTCAGCAGATCATCAGAACAGGAATCACCAAAGTGAGTTTTCCAACAGTTTCACAAATTCCTCTTGTAGCTGAAATTTTAAGATATTCTAATCAAGTTAAATCCCAGAAAACATAATAACATGTATTACTTATTCATTCATAAACTAGTGTTGCTGATTTGTTTCTCTCAAAATAAGCCATGGTTTATTTTTGGCTTGCTATTGCTGTTTGATGCTCACACCTCCAAGACAGGAAAGGGAGGAGGGGGTGGGTGCAATTTCAGCTGCTCCCTGGTAAACCATAGTTTAAGTCTGACTTAGTTTTACATGTGAGCATGTGTGTGTATAAAATATTTTATTAACAGATTAATTTTTGCTGCACCAGAAAAACTTTCTGAGTCTTGAGCTGATATTGCTAGTGAAAATGTGAATATTTATTATGTTCTTCTTGTATCTTAAAGTGTGGGGCTGGAATATAGTGAGCTAAAGTTAATGAAAAATTTGAAATCCTGAAAAAAATCCCACAACTGACTTGTCAAAAAGAAATCCTTATATTCAGAAGAAGAAATCATTTTGCAGAAAAATTGTTGGCTTACATTAAATAGTGAGGTCTGGCTACTAATGTTTAACTTGTTTTGTTTTTTTAATGAAGGAACATATTGGAAAATAATTCAACACAGAATGTTTTGTCTCAGACTCTCAATGGAGTTGGCAACCTTTCAGGGTCTTATCCTTTGAATGGAAAAGATAAACAGTCTTTAGAAACAAATGAAAATGTTTCAAAAGGACTTTTAATGGATGACTCCAATCAGTACTACTTTGATAAGGTATGATAAACAAGATGAAACGGGCACTTCCTGATAAGCTTAAACAGCAGTGTAGGTGAGACAGAACAGGATACCTTTTCAGTTGAGAAGCAGTCATTTATTTCATACATCAATTCCAGTCCTAAGGAACCCAGCCCCCATCCTGGTCATTTTGTAGAAGAGGTGTGTATCTGTACACTAAGCTTTTAAAAATAATTTTGTAAATATGTATTGAGAAGTTGGAGGGTTTCTGGATGTGAATTGTATTTTCCATTACACTGATGGTTGTATTTATACTCTGTACATTTGTGTTGACTTGTCAATTGCCTTGTTTGCTTGTGGATTATTATTTTTTTAAGAGAGAGGGGCGAAATTAGCCTTATCATAGAGTTTTAGCCTTTGGCTAGATAGCTCCTTTGAAATGGACAAATCTATGTGGAGGGGATGCCCAGTTTGGAAAAATTTCTCATGATAGGTAAATTGAAGATTATCCAAGTCATCCAACTGAGGTAGTACTTAACATGTTTCACAGATAAAAAGCCTCTTTTCCTTGTCTTCCAGAATGAAGTTATTGATGGAGACTTGCTTTTGATACGCATTTTGCCAGATGAAGATGGAAAATTTGGATTTAACCTGAAGGTAAAAAGGCACTAGTAAAGCAATATTGATAATTAAATATAACTTGGGAGTGAGCATTGCAGGGGAACCATTGGGAAATGTTGCTTGTATCTTTTTAAATATGCTTTCCCCAGTATGTGATAAAGTATTATGTTGCTGTGCTGTCAAAACACTGATTGGTTTAATGGAGTATTGATAGTTCTTCCTTCCTATCTTCTCCCTGAATAAACCAAATTTTATTGCCCTCAGCTAGTTATTAGTGTTGTCATGTGGATGCTAATTATGAAAGAGCTTTGTGCACTAGATATAAATGGGAATGCAAGGGTCTTCAAATTACAAGTGGATATTGGGGGTGAGCAAATCCCGACAAATCTTGCTATTCTCACCTTTTGGGTAAAATTCTATGCATGTTTTGTTTAGAACAGAAACTCTGAAATTTGCCTCAAGTTTTGCTTTGAGTGTAAGTCATTATTGACCCTGATTAAGATACTGATTCTCTTTTAGTCAAAGATTTTGCATTGTTTTAACAGTACATTTGCCCCTACACAGTGATTTGGAATAATGTTATGTTCGTATCATTTGTTATCTGCCCAAGTTATGCTAGTAAATTTCCTGGAGTAAAACTATCTTTGCACAGATTGTAAAGAAATTAGATCAAATGTAAACATTTGGTCATGAGACCTAGTTCATTACTAAGCATTTTCTAGTAAACCTATTAGAGGATTTTCATTATGTGTTTTTAACAGGTAACCATGCTGAAACCCCCAACCCACCCAGAATGCTGTTTTAAAGATTAAATCTTACAGCTATGTGCAATTTATGCATCACGATAACTGGTTCATTAAATTTGACCTGACAATATATCATTCAAAACACCAGAGGGCAGTATAATTGTGAGCAATTTGAGCAGTCCTGTCCCTGTGCGTGGTTTGTCTCAGCCAAAGGCAGAACAGTTTCAGCCTCGGCACCTTGCAATAAGTCTCAGCTGAGGACAGAACAGATTCAGCCCCAGCACCTTGCAATAACTGTGTCCAGCCTTGTGATAACAGCGGTGTTCCCTCTCCCTGCTCTGGCTGCTTCACAGTGGTTTGTCTCAGCTGAAGACAGAACAGTTTTGACCTCAGCATCTTGTGATAGCTGCAGAGTTCCCTTTCTCTGTAGGCTGATGCAACATCCAAGAATGCCTGCTGCTTCTTCCGTATGCCCCATCTTCTCCACCACCCACCTGCACAACATCCAAGACTGCCTGCTCCTTCTCTCCCAAGCCCCATCTCCAACCCCCCCCCCTCCTGCAGATCTCCATGGCTGCTTCTTTGGCCATCCACATGCCAGACCTTCATGCCCATCCTATAAAGTTCTGTGTTTCAGATATCGTAATATATTGCTATATTGGACAAGCTTTGTTTTAAGTTAAGCTTATCTGACACATAAACTTCTGGAATGCCCCATCACAGTTTGAAAACTGTTCTAGATAAATCATGTATTGCACAGTTACAATACCGGCTTATTACATGTCTAATCAATAGAAAACCCCATTGCGTTTAATAGAAGTTTTCCCCAGAGCATAGGATTTCAGCCTTATTAATACTTTAACTATTCAGATGCATTTTAAATGTTTTAAAGATTGTATTGTTTTGTCACTGTTGCTTGCCATCCTGGGGCAGCTCTGAGAGGAGTAGCTGGATATAAATATAATAAATAAAAATATAATAAATAAAAATACTTTGGCACCATGTTTTAGGGGGGCATTGATCAGAAGATACCTCTAGTTGTGTCCAGAATCATTCCAGGTTCCCCTGTAAGTATAAACTTTTGCACTTCCTTCATTTTTGTATTGTATTTTATCTATAAGCCTCCTTGAGTCCCTATCAGGGAAAAAGGCAGAGTATAGAAATCTACTACTACTTTGACTATAACTGCTGCTGCTGCTCATTGTTAGTAGAATAAGAGAGTGGGAAGAAAACTTGGACATTATCTCAATAGAAATGCATAAAATCAGGATGTGGGCCCCTGGATTATTTGAACAGCTTCATTCTCAATCTGAACTGAATAGTGTCAGACATTGCTGATGGAAAATTGTTCCAAATATATTAAACAAATAAATTTTCCATGGTTTCCTAATGCAGATAATACTTCATCAAGATAAACAATAGCACTGCTAATTAGAGATTCAGTCAAATCCTTCACACTGAAGTTAATATCCAATTTGTTTCTTAGACTGAAAGGTTTGAAAATGGTGACTTCATTTTCTTTTGTCTTATGGCAGTCTGATAAATGCATTCCAAAATTGCTTGAAGGTGATCAGATAGTATTAATCAATGGCCGGGACATATCTGAGCACACACATGACCAAGTAGTGATGTTTATAAAAGCCAGCAGAGAGTCACATACACGTGAGCTTGTACTTCTGATCAGGCGGAAAGGTAAGTATTTATGTGATGTATTGTTATTGAAGAGTGGGGTTGTGGTGGGATCATGCTGCTTGGAGCATAACTGAGCAGGATTATTGTCTGTACACTAGAAGCTATTTTATTTCGAGCTTTTCTTTAAATTTCTACAAGGAGTCACTTGAAACATTGGAATCTCACAGTTAACTAAAGCTGGTCTTCGGGGGGGGGGTATAGCCTCCCTTCAGCTCTCCACTCCTAGGGCAATTAGTAGTTTGAGCTCGACACTCCTTCTGGCATGGAAGGGAAGGAAGTGTTTTGATCCCTCCCTTCCATCTTTGAACTTCAGGACTCTATTGGTCTGGATCCAGGCACCAGAGACTTGAGATTCCAAGATACCCCTCATCATGCCATTATATCAAGATTTTTCTGTAATCATGGTTTGTTGTGACATCCAAATTGGCCTTGTCTGTAGACCCAATCTTTGCAAACTGATCTCAGCATGGTTTCAAATCAAGGTTTTGAGATAAGCCGCTGGAGTTAAAATTGTTTTCCCCCCTCATGAGAGCAATATTTCAGCAATTTGCCAAAGAAAAAAATAGTTGCTGAGACACAGAAAGAGATTGAATTGCATCTCCCTGCTAATATTCATCTGCCTTAGGATATTTGCTTTGGAACTGTCAAACAGCAACAATTAGCAAAGCAGCTTTTACAAATCTGTCCTTTTTCATGTACAATTTCTTTAAAATACCTAGACATTACTGTTTGAAGAATGTTAAAGATCTGGATTTGCCTGTGTCTTTTTAGTTCTTAGACCATTTGTTGAGAACAAGTTGGAAGATGAAGCTGATGGATCTGGTTTTCTGGAAACAATTATTCCCAACTGTTCTGAGTATGGTGAGACTTTAGAAGAATCAATGGAGCAACTAAAGAAAGGACTGGAAAGTGGAACTGTCCTAATTCAGTTTGAAGTAAGCAACCATCACAGTGTCAGACCCTTGGTTTGAATGTGTCCCTTCCTAAACAGATGCAAATAAAGCCACTATTCCCTTGGCCACTCTCCTCCTTCTAACTTTCTCTTCTCTGTGATCGTGTGCTATATTTGTTGGCAGCATTGGCCCAGAAATGGAGCACTTGGTGTTTCAGAAGCTAAGGGTTCATTCAGGTGCTGGCCAAAGCAGCATTGTAAGTCATGACTTTAAAAACATAAAAGAGCCATGCTGGATCAGGCCAAAGGCCCACTTAGTCCAGAATTCTATTCTCACAATGACCATGTTTTAACTATACCGATGTGCAAGTTTCTAAAAATATAAAAGCAGAAAAATGTAATGTTTTGTTAATAATTGCTGCTTGGATAGGCCTACAAAACCCTTGTGTTTCACCACAAAATTAAAAACTAAATGCAGTCTTTTAATTGGCTGTTTTAGAAGTGCAATGTAGATATCATAATGCCCTAATTAGATTTTATTTAACAGTGTATTTAAATGACATGCAGCTGTCAAAATAGTAAGTTTATCTTCTTACAATTTTTGTTAATCTGTAATCCTGTTAAGAACTAGCTTCAAAATTTGAGGGGTATTTAGTCAGCTTTCCTCTGACTTGATAGGCAAGCCAAGGATTAAGAACGCCTTCCTGCCCTGTAACTCTCTTCTGTAAATGCCTAATCCTGCATTGTCATTAACTTGTTAACACTTTGCAACAAGGCCTCAAAATAAAAAAAGCCCCAACTCACTTGTCATATGATCTGGCCAGAGATATGGAGCAAATACAAGACCACCGCAGATTCCAGTGCCAGTCAAGTTGCCATCCACAGGGATTAGGAACTGCCAGTTGTTCATTTGTGGGGAATTATTTTATATTTGTTATAATTCAAGCAAGTCTGGGCAGTGTGTATGGAGGTCCTGGACTGCCTAGATTCAACTTGATCCTTATTTAATTATTCAGTGAAGAGCTTTTATTTTCTTTCAGCAACTTTATAGAAAAAAGCCAGGATTAGCTATTACTTGTGCAAAGCTACCTCAAAACATGGACAAAAATCGGTACAAAGATGTTCTGCCATGTGAGTATTAAATTATAGTTTGCCTTTTATTTCCTTTAATATTTAACTTGTAATATTTAACAGTAATTCCATGCCTATCAGCCTAAAAGTGAGTCAGGACTGCCCCGAAATAAGGTGATTTCTACATATTCAGGGTAAGCAAAAGTACATTTGTTGTACATAAATGGGGCAACTAATCCTGAACTTACCTCATGCCATATCTAAAGATCCATGACAGCTCCACTAGTAGATCAAATATCTCTCTACACAGGGAGCTTGCACAGAGTATACACAGTGCTCATGGAACAGTGGTTCAAGACCCATTCACAGAGAGAAATGCCCTTTTACCATACAGAAACTGCAACAAAAGCAGTCACAGGCATACACTGACACCAGTACCCTCCAGTTGCCCATAGGATATGGGATTTGAAAGCAGGAATTGGAGGCTGAGCCCCACCAGACAGAAGGCTGGAAACCCCCACTGATCTCTGGACATCTAGAAAACTCAAACCAATTTGCAGCCTATACAGAGCAGTTCCCAAACTGCTCAACCACAGCAGCAGACAGGTGTCTTGACATATTGTGGGGCATTGGCCTTTCCCTCATAGCAATCAATGTTAGGAGCACAGGGACCGAAGGTGAAACCCTGGTCTCATAAAACAACTTAAGTCTTGCATGTTAGAGGACCGTGGTTCAAACCCAGAGTACAAACCTGGTCTTGAAAAGGGTGAGCCCACCCCTAGTATTCTAATAGGCACACCTAAGATAATCATCCCTCTTTGACCCACCACTCCTTTTGACAACCCATGTGACCAGTCCATCCCCTAATTAATTTAGCTGACAGGCTAGCCCTGCCCAGTAGCATCCCAGCAGGATTCATTGTCCCCACCTGCCAACCACTCCCTACCAACAAAGAAGCAACAAGGTGCAAGAGGAGGCTACTAGTGCAAATGGATGACCAATCCCTGCTGCTCATAAAAGAACAGCAGGCAGCATGTTGGCCTGATCTTTTAGTTGGCCTCTTTTCATTTGCATGCAATGTAGTTGAGTGTGTTGAGAGCATATGGGAAGGCTGGAGAATCGGGAGTAAGGGAAAGCCACTGAGGCACAGTGCAGAACACTACAAAGCTCCAGCAAACAGTTAATCATCAGGTCATGCACAGTACCATAATAGTCCCTGAATCTGTGCTATAGGTATGTGGAGTAAAGAGAGATTGGTGTCACCTGAGTGCTTGTTGACCATATCCCATCTGCTTCAAACTGCTCCTGTGCTCCACTCAAAGTTTAACAAGAGAGTACTGTAGTTTGAGTCATTTGAAGTCCTAAGCTAACCGCTATAACTTACCAGAATACAGTGGTACCTCGGGTTAAGTACTTAATTCGTTCCGGAGGTCCGTACTTAACCTGAAACTGTTCTTAACCTGAAGCACCACTTTAGCTAATGGGGCCTCCTCCTGCTGCCGCGCCACCGGAGCACGATTTCTGTTCTTATCCTGAAGCAAAGTTCTTTTTTTTTTTAATTCTCTTTATTAAGTTTCATATACATAAACAGAAAAAAAGAAAACAAATAAACATACACAAAAAAGGAAAACAAAAAAAGAAAAAGAAAATATACTTGCATCTAAAATTGATCATTGCATGTACAAAGTTCCAAAGATAAAAAGAGAGAAACTAATATCAGTAATAAACAATTTCCATTTCAATTATTAATCCTCTCCTTTGTTTTCTATGTCTTTCATGATCTAAATTTCCTTTCACCCCCCTACCGACCTCCATCCCTCCTGCTTTCAGGCTTCTTATTCTTTATTATTTAGTTCTCCTGCAGCTTACATTTTCAATTAGTTTATACATCATGAGATTTACATCAAACCCGCTATAGTCCTTAAATTTCTGTAGTTTTCTTCTATGTAGGTCATGAATTTGTTCCAATCATTAATAAACTTTGCATTTTTTTGGTTTCTAATTTTTTGTGTCAATTTTGCTAAGTTAACAAATTCAAATAGTTTCGTTTGCCACTCTTCTATTGACGGTATATTTTGACTCTTCCAATTTTGGGCAATTAACAGTCTGGCCGCGGTCGTAGCATATTGGAATAAAACTTTATCCTCTTTCTTGATCTCATCTCCTATAATTCCTAATAAGAATGCTTCCGGACGTTTAGGAAATGTGTACTTAAATATTTTTTTTAACTCATTATATATGAGTTCCCAATATTTCTTCATTTCTTCACACGTCCACCACATGTGAAAGAAATTGCCCTCCTTTGTCCTACATTTCCAACAGTTCTTATCTCCTGTTTTGTACATTTTCCCCAGCTTTGCTGGGGTGATGTACCACCTATACATCATTTTTTCTAAGTTCTCCCTGAGCGTTACACATGCTGTAAATTTCATTCCGCTGACCCATAATTTTGACCATTTGTCATACTCAATATTGTGGCCCAGATCCATTGCCCACCTTGTCATTACCCCTTTTATTTCCTCGTCTTTCGTATCCCACTCTAGTAGTATATCATACATTTTGGATAGTAATTTATGTTTACTTTCAATTATCTCTATCTGGAACTTCGATTTTTTTTCATTCATACCTATTTTTTATCCATTGTCCATATAGCATTTATTTGATGATATTGTAACCAGCCAGATAACTTGTCTTTTAAGTCCTCATATTTTTTCATCTTCCATCCACTTTCTGAGCTTGTCAATATATCCTCATAAGTCAGCCTTTCTCCCTCCATATTAATTTTTTTTATTATTAATATATCCATTGGGGATAACCACCATGGTGTTTTCCATTCCAAAAGTTTTTTATTTCTTTCCCACACTTCCAAAAGGGGTCCCCTAATAATATGGTTTGAAAAGCCCTTATGTATTTTTCCTTTATTATGCCATAAATAGGAATGCCAGCCAAACCTGTTATCCGTCCCTTCCAAATCTAATGAGTCAGTGTTTTCTAGTGTGATCCAATCTTTAATCCAACAGAGACTGGCAGCTTCATAATAGAGTTTCAAGTTAGGTACTGCAAAGCCCCCTCTTTCCTTTCTATCCGTAAGAATTTTGTAACTGATTCTAGGTCTTTTGCCCTGCCATATAAATTTGGAGAGGGTTCTTTGCCATTCTTTGAATAATTTAGTACCTCTAATTACAGGGATGTTTTGAAATAAAAATAGCATCCTCGGAAGTAAGTTCATTTTTATCGCTGCCATTCTTCCTCTCCACGATAATTTCACTCTGTTCCACACTTCTAGATCTTTCTTAATTTCTTTCCATGTTGTAATATAGTTATTTTCAATCAGGTTTATATTTTTAGTAGACAGCCAGATTCCCAAATATCTAATTTTTTTGTCACTTTAATTCCATGCAACCTCTCTAATTTATCATTTTCTTCCTTTTTCATATTCTTAGTCAACATTTTTGTCTTTAGCTTGTTCAATTTAAACCCAGAAACTTTGCCAAATTCCTCCAACATTTCCAAAGCAGCCCCTACATTTATATGCGGATTTTCCAACGAAAGCATTATGTCGTCGGCGTATGCTTTTAATTTAAATTCTTTTGCTCCTATTCTAATCCCTCGTATTTTTGGTGCTGCTCTGATTTTATTTAGGATTATCTCTAATGCCATAATAAACAAGAGTGGAGCACTATTTCTGGGTTAGCAGAGTCTGTAACCTGAAGCGTATGTAACCTAAAGCGTATGTAACGCGAGGTACTACTGTACTCTGTTTATGTTCTTAGGCCGTTGGTTGCATGAAACGTATCTTAATATATGTGGGCTGTATACACAAGCCAAGAACCAATTAATTAAGCCCTTATTGGTAAATTTACCTGGAAACTCTGATATCTTTTATATCAAGTATCTCTTTGAAGATAAGGAATTTTAGTCATGGCAAAATTTCTCTCAGAGGTAGTTAGAATTAGAAATCAACATGTCTTGGATAAAACACCGTGACTGTCTAGTAATGTCTTTTCCATATGTCTGCTGTACTTTGTTTTTGCGGGTCTTTGGACCATAATAAAGAATGTTTGTGTGGTAAGCCTATCTTGAACCAAGGCTTTTTAGAACCATATAGCACAGCAGGGGATGGAAATCAGAAGGGTTTCAAAAGGAGGAAAGTGTTGTTTCCTCCCTGTACCCTTTGACCTGGACCAGATGTTGTTAGGCTACAACTCTCATCATTTGCCAGGAGGGACAGCAGTCAAGGATCAGGGAGTGGTTGTCTCAACAACATCTAGGAACTTGATGTTGAGAAAGCCTCCCCTAGACAGTGCTGTGTTTTGTAGTATTGCTTCAGAAAACAACCTGATTTGGCTCAGACAGATTTAGAGGCTGCCTAATTTTGGGGGAACGAAACTTCATGTCTTCCCATTTACTCTGGCTATAATTCTTTCTCCCCATTTTTGACAGAATTAGATGGAATTTGCAGGCATAATAGGCCCTCGGGCAGACCCTCCTTTATTCTGCTGAATTCCAGTAGGATAGGTTCAGGAGGCGTTGTGCTGGGCACATTAAGCTTTGATTATTATTTTTAACAGCATATAAGTTTTTTAAATTTTTGACTGAATTGAATGAAATTTGTATGTTTGAGGGGATGAACACTGCCAAATGTTTGTAGTTTTGGTGGAGTTAATCTCCCATATTCTGTTGCCATCAATTTTATGAACATTGTAAAAATCATAGAAGTGCTCCTAAGAAACCTGTCAGAAGTATAGCTGCAGGAGCTAAGGCGTTAAGATGAAGGGGTAGGGGACTCACCTTCAGACTTGGCTCTGCTGAGTTAGCACTAAAAGTCACAGAAATGAAGTGTAAACTGACTTCACAGGACTGTTTCAAGTAAGCAGCAGCAGCAGAACTAGCACAGAACAGAGCAGAAGGTGATATATTACTTTAGCATCACTGCTTCGGAACACTGTGATTTGAGATTCCTGATAAAATCATTCCCTCTGATTAGAAGCTATAAAACGCAGCAAAAAAAAAAGAGGTCCCCCCCCTCCCCATTCTGACATTTGCCTATATGGCATTCAATTGAGGATAATTTTTCACTTTTGGCAGACCCACTGCCTGCACTGTTTTCTCACTTCAGAGATTCCTGTTTTTATCTGGGAACCTTTGGAGTGACCCCACTTTGGTTTGAAAGCCCCAGATCTTTCTGAAGCAACCACTCTTCTCAAGATTCAGGATTCATTTGAATCCGACACATTCCATTCTTTCCTGTCCTATTTGGTTCATTTACTTAAGTTTTCAAAATACTATGTTTGCAGACCATATTGTGCAGCTAATTGATTCCCCATCTCTGTGAAAAGTGATACTAATTTATATAACCTAATTACTATTTTTTTCTCTTCCTAGATGATATCACTCGAGTAATATTACAAGGAAATGATGATTACATAAATGCAAATTATGTTAATGTAAGTAACACAGACAGGTCTTGAAATAACTACAAGTTGTTTCCATACTAGTGGACCTATTAAAATTAATGGACAGGACTAACTTAGGTCCATTAATTTCAATGGGTCTACAGAACTAAAAGTATCAAAATTATCAATTTCTTGTACATGAATTATCAATTTCTTGTTCAGTTTTGATTTAGTGACTTAATCGTATGGGTTGATGTTGTATTTGAGGATGACTAGAAATACTAATAGTTGTTGTTGTTATTATTTATTATCCACTTGCCTTTGCTAATACTTCAGTAAAATTACTAGTAAGAATTTACAGCTTTCTTTCTTCTCGTAGCTGGAAATTCCTCCTGCAGGCATTGTGAACAAATACATAGCCACTCAAGGGCCTCTTCCACACACCTGTGTTCATTTCTGGCAAGCAGTTTGGGATCACAGATTATCACTGATTATCATGCTGACAACCCTTACAGAACGAGGGCGGGTAGGTACAGTTTTCCTGATTACCAAGCCATTCCTGGGGGTGGAGGTTTGTATGTGAATTGAGATGTGGTTTGCTGGTCTGCTTGGCACATTGGAACTAGGCCCTCTTTCTTCATTCTTCAGTGTAACGTAGCAGGTGGACAATAAGTTGTGGCTTGTGAAATTTTTTAGCATATCAAGGTTCAGGAACCAAGGAACTCTTTTGTTTCCAGCAACTGAAAGGCTAAAGATGAAAGTTTCATATACTCTGGCCTGCTAGAACATAAGCTAACTCCAGCTGCTGTGGCGGCGGCTGAAGATATTTTGGGGATTGCTTCAGCTAACTCTTTGGCCTAGACCTGGGTCTTTTGTCATGTCAATTAGTACATGGTATGTTCTATGTTGATTATTAGCATTGCTTGAGCAACCCTCTAAGATATGTTTCCAAAGAAGATATAAATGTGACAGGATGAGTTTTTCTTTTGTGTTAGACCAAATGTCATCCTTATTGGCCTGATCCTCCAGACGTTCTTGATTATGGCAACTTTCGTGTCAAGTGTCAATCTGAAGATTGTACCATTGCTTACGTGTTTAGAGAAATGGTTATTACAAATATTGAAGTAAGTGATTTTTACTTTTTCAGTTTGCTACAAGAAAAAATACATATTAAAACTTCACACATGGTTATGTACATGTCGTGCTTGTTGCCTGATCTAAATGCTGATGCTCTTGGTCCATTGGTCAGCCTTACTGGAATATGTATCTACAAAGATTATTTGAGTCAAAGCTAACCTTCTGGTTGTTTATTATTATTATTAAGAAGCAACTCAAGTATAAGTGCTTGTGCTGTTACTTATTTTGTCTTTATTCATTAGTAAGGGCCCATTCAAACAGCTCTTAGCTGTATGTGGTATGAGATTCAGTATGGAGCTTGGATGCTTTCTTCGTCACCAATGCATGTGCATGCTTACATGCGTGAGAATACATATACAAGTTTGCATGTACATGCCAAAACTTAGAACTCCCATTTCTATATGAATAAGTGACTGCTAAATGAATACTAAATCTATGTGCAGTACAGTGGGTACAGCACTCAATTCCTTATTTTGCTGCACAGAAAAATGAGGAGAGAGAATCCTACACATCTGAATGGTAATGCAGTGTAATGTAAACAATTGCAAAGTGATAAGCATTGGACCAAAAATCCTAGTTTCACAACTATCACAAACAGATCCTAGTGATGACTGAGAAGGAATGAAACCTTGCAGTTGTGGTGGATAGCTCAAATGACCCAAGTGTGAAGAGGCTGTGAAAAACATCAATTCTGTTTTAGGAGTAATTTGGAAAATAACAAAAAACTGCCAATAGAATATTATTACTATGCAAATCTATGGTGCAACCATATTTGGAATACTGTATGTGGATGACAGTTGTGAGAACAGCATGTTGGAGTAGATGGGTCCTTGGCCTGATCCAGCCAGGCTCTTCTTATTACCGTATTTTTCTCTCTATTACACGCAGATTTTTTCTCCTAAAAAGGAAGGGGAAATGTCTGTGCGTGTTATGGAGCGAATGTGGGGGGGTCCCTGGAGCCGATTAGGGGAGCGCAGGAACAAAAATCAGCAAAAATCAATCGTGCGTTGTGTCGGAGAGGGAAACCTGAAAAGAGGAAGTGGTTGCTTTCCTGCATTCTGCCTCAGGGTCTTATTGCCCACCCTCCTCTGTTTCGTTGCTGTGTTTGCTCAAAGGGAACAAAGAGCAGGCAAATCCCCTCCCCTCCAGGCAAGCAGAGGGGAAAGCAGAGGTCTTTCCTTCTAATTCCTCTCCGTGCTCCTTGCAGGCAGCCAGAAAACATGCAGGAGGAGAGAGAAAGCTGGCTTCGGTTTGTGGAAACTTTTGCCTTTCTTTCCTCCCTCCCGTAAAATCCCTCTCCTGCTTTCTTAGCCAGCTGCTTCTCTGCACACTGCTCTCTTGTCCCTTCTGTGTTTTTCCTTCACTCCCCACTTAAAATGTAGTTACAAAGCATGGATCCACATGGATCCTCAGGATCTTTGCATTGGGCCACCCCAAATTCACCATCAGATCACATAGCAGCCTGCCCCCCAAAAATCACACACCCACTGTTGCCTGGGGCTGCAATGGTGCAAAAACGTGGTTAAAAAGCATGGATCCACATGGATCCTCAGGATCTTTGCATTGAGCTACCCCAAATTCACCATCAGATCGCATGTCTGTGGCCACAGCATGAAGCACAAAAATGATACATCCACTGTTTCATTCAGAATTTTTTCCCTTGTTTTCCTCCTCTAAAAACGATGTGTGTGTTATGGTCAGGTGCGTGTTATAGAGCGAAAAATACGGTACACGTCAAATACAGCATCCTATGATGAATGAACAGTAAATGCAGAAGAACCAAGCATAGGAAGCTGCATGGGAACCACTGGGACCCTTTCTTGTCCCTGTCCATATTGTTTGATGCAGCTTTACCTATCCAGCTGTTGTTTGTTTCAGTTTGGCTAGGGCCACTGACTTCTAATGAGCTTTGAGTATTCATCCAGACTTTGGCAAAATATAGCCACATGTAGACTTGGCTATGGCAGCATAACTGGTATATGGCAAATTTGGTTTGGAGCTGATTGCTCGTTCTTGCATCTTTTTTTCATTAAACAGACCCTGCCTACATTTTGTGTCTGGTATACTGTGACAGAGTTGGCAGAGTTTTTTGCAAAATGGAAGCACCCGCTTTGGACCAAACTATATATTACATTATATGTGTTACTGTGTTGAACTCACCTGTTTTTTAAAAATGGCTGCAGAGATTAGGTGCATAGAGAGGTGGGTTTAATGTTTCCCTTCTGCTGCAGTCTGCTTCAAGCTGCTGACCTCCAAGCTCTTCCCAACACCTAAGCTGTTATTTAGCTGAAGCAGCTTTCTTCCCACCAGGTGGCAGTGCCAGCCATAGAGAGACAAAGTGCCTTAAGAGGGAGTCCCCAGGGAACCCAGTGTGTTACAGGTGGCTGTGAGTTAGGATTCTCTGTATGTGACAGTATTTTGCCTTCATAAAAATGGAAATATAAACAGTTTGCTATGTTGAATGTATAATTGAGCTTTTATGAGAAATAGCTATAGCACAGTTTCACATATTTGATTGGTCTATGGAGTACAGAAAACATTCAGATGAGAATGTAACTAGATTTCTAGTAGGTTTACTGTACATTGTCAGGGTCTACTGAGAGAGACAACAGAAAATACTATTCTGGAGATTGGGGGGGGAGAGATTCAGCTAATAAATAAATAAATGATGTACTGCTTTTGACCACAAATCAACAATATTTATTGTTGAGCTATCTGAATGCAAGACTCTGAACTGACAAATGGTTTGTTTGATATTTTCCCATTACATAATTTTCAGTTAAGGCTGCTTTTACAGTAAGGTCTGTATAGTGAAAATGTTAATTTATTTCAGACAGAGGAAGAACACACAGTCACTCATCTCCAGTATGTGGCTTGGCCTGATCATGGTGTCCCTGATGATTCCACCGACTTTTTGGAATTTGTGACCTACATGAGATCAAAGAGAGTGGGAAATGTGCCAGTTCTTGTTCACTGCAGGTGCAGTAAATAATTGTGCATATAACCATTTGGCATAATAGTTTGTGATAGTTCTTGAGTCTGCTTTATGAATGTGTTATGGCTGATAGTGAATCAAAACTGCTCTTGCTGCTTCAGGCTGCTTAGGGACTGTTCAAATGTATTTGAAGTGCTTATTCCTTTCAGTGGACTTTCACAAAAGACAGAAAACAGAGCTTAAATGTGACTGGTGGTAAATGCAACTTGGTTGCGTGATTTTATGTGGGGTGGGGTTTATTGTTCTTTTCTTTTTAAAAAATAGAACTCATAGGAATCCCACTGGATCAGATAAAAGGGTCCTTCTAGTTCAGCATCTGTTTCCTAGCGGTGGCCCACAAACAAGGCATGAAGACGTAACTCAGTAGCTGGCACTCAATGGCATATTATCTGAATTATTATTATTACATATTATCCATGTAATCACCATGTCTAGTAGTCATTCAAAGACTTATTAATTTATTCCTCTCTCATATTACAACTTGGGGTCATGCAATGAAACAGATTGGCAGAATATTCAGGACAGACAAAAGGAGGTACTTCTTCACCTGGCAATTAGTTGATTCATAGAATTCTGTGCCATAAGATGTGGTGATGGCCACTAGCTTAACTAGTTTTAAGAGTAGAGTAGAAAAATTCAAAGAAGATACGTACCAGTAATGTAGCTGTATTATGAAGTTAAAAGTGGTGGGAACCCAGAAGGAAAAGTGGCAGTTCCACTCTATTCTGTGCTGTTTAGACCACATCTGGAGTACTGTGACCAATTTGGGGCACCACATTTTAAGATGGGCATCAACAAACAATAGTGTGTCTGGAGGAAGGTGACGGAGATGGCAAGAAGTCTAAAAACTAAGTCTTATAATTAATAGTTGAAAGAGCTGGATATGTTTAGCCTGGATAAGAGAAGATGGAGGAGGGACATGATATCTGAGGGGTTGTTATGCAGAGGATGGAGCAAACTGTTCCAGAAGACAGGCCTAGAACCTGTGAATGGAAAGTGCTGGGAAGCATATTTGGCTGAATGTTAGGAGAAACTAACTCTAAGAGCTATCTAACAGTGGAACAGTCTGCTTGCCTAAGAGGTGGCCTTTGCTTTGCTTGGAGACGTTTTAGCAGAGGTTGGACTACCATCTGTCATCCTCCACTTTAGGAGGCTGGACTAAATTACCTCCATGGTTCCGGGCAACTCTGGTTCTATGGAACCTCCAGTTTCAGAGGCCACTAAATACCAAGTGCGTTATTGCCTTGATGTCCCTCATGTGGGCTTCTCAGAGGTATCTGGTGGGCCTCTGTGAGAAACAGTATGCTGGACTATATTGACCCTTGCTCTGATCCAGCAGGGCTGCTCTTCTGTGTGGCAGCACACAATTCCTTATTGTGCACTCACAGACATCTCATTTGCACGATGCACAATCTCTTCTATGGTTGCATAGAATGGCACACTCCATAAAGCACTTTCTTGCTTTTCTAAACCATGCTTAAATATATATGCCAATATGATTTTAATCATGGTTGTCTAAGTTTGCTGTTTATAATTATTTGAAACCAGGATTTGAAGCTGGCTGGAATTTCTGATTAAGCAGTGAACCTGATTATTTTTAACTATCATTGAATCCTTTAACCACTGTTATGGTGGGTGGAGGAAGTTTGCCTTGGGTAAGGGAGGAGCATATCATCTTCTGGCCTGCTCTTAGTCTCTTAACTGTGAGGAGATAACTCCTTTTGCCCCCCCTCCCCCAATAGGGCAGCTATGACCATTGAATTTTTCTTTGTAATATCCTGTTACTTTGGGGAGGGGGGAGCAAAACTCCTAGCTTGAATTAAATTAAATTACTTATTTAACCATTGATTACTAAAACTTACTTGTTTTCTCCATTTTTCTGTGAAATGTTTTTCTTACAGATTTGCAAAGAACATGTTGCTGAAGTGATTTTTAAGTGTTCTGTTGTATTCAGTATTCCTAATGTTTTCAAGAGATTTTCAGTATTTTTTAAAAAGCCATAATTTTGATATGAATTCAGGACAAAACACATGCTTTGGTTGTTGTTGCTTTAAAAAATGCAGTCTTGTTGCTTACCTCTTGCAGTGCTGGAATAGGCCGGACTGGAGTATTGGTTGCTATGGAAACAGCTCTGTGCTTAATTGAAAAAAGCCAACCTGTTTATCCACTGGATATTGTACGAAAGATGCGAGACCATCGTGCTATGATGGTGCAAACATCAGTAAGTAAAAAGTACAGGAGCCTATTTTCAATGTGTTTGACCCAATTTCAATATATTGAAATCATATAATTGTAATGTTCGAAGGGTCCTCAGTGGTCATCTAGTCCTGCCCTCAAGCTGATACAGGAAGTTCATTGCTGCAACATCCCTTGTACATAGTGATTCTGTCTCTACTGAAGAACACTTAATTGCCTCTAAAGTTGCCATGCTTCAACAAAATACTTTCAGAGGGAGATTCCAGCATGAATTAGAACTATTCAATAAATCCTGTTGTATTCACTGAGGCCTGAATTGAAACAGTGGTTTCCTGTGCACTATAGATTTCATTTGGCCTAGATAAACACATTTTGATTTGTGCCTCCTTCTCTATTCTGCTGGTTTATCTCTGTTTCCTGTCTCTGCTGCCTATCTCAGCTCTTCAGAGATGGATTTAAATCACCTGAAGAACCTAATGCTGATCTCTCCCTGCCCCCTGCAGAACTATGGCAGCTGTGCATGCTATCCATCTTGGTCTTAAAGGCAATGCTGATGTTAACTTCAGTGTATGAAAATGATGGCATTGTAGCTGAACATTGTACTGATATTATATAAATGAAAGATAACAGGTTATTTTTAACCTTTTCCCTTTTTGTGTGTGTGTGTGTGTGTGTTATGCAGAGTCAGTACAAATTTGTCTGTGAAGCTATTCTTCATGTTTATAAAGAAGGACTAGTACGCCCGCTGGATTCCAGTTAGCATAAATGTGAAGAAATGGAGTTCATCTTTCTAAAGACACATGTCAAGCCCAAGTGGTTTGTGGTGATAGATTATGGCAGAGCTCGCCAAGGCTTTGGGGAAGAGAAAGCAAGTTTGTACCATGGCACTTTAAAATTCTGTAGGAAATTACTGAACCATGTAATCTACATATGAATCAGGTAAGTTTGTAAAGGCATGTGATGTGGAATGTACGCACACAGAAAACAAGAAAAGAAAATCTTGATGTACTCGCTGTATGCACCTTTTATTGCCTTAAAACATTTTTCATTAGAAGATTCCAGTGCTCTCCATTGTGAACTGAAAAAGACCAACCAGCAATATCAATGGAAAAGCAACCCAATTATTTGAAGAGCCAAGTGCCTTCATCGCCTAAAGAGTTGAGTATTCCACAACTCCCACAAAATTGGACTGAATCATCCCAATACCAGTTAACGTTGGCAATATTACTTTGCTCAGGCATATTTATGAAATGAAATACCAAGGGCTGGAGCAATGGCACTGTAACCTCTGTAAATCTATCTGCATCACTGATAAGCATATTTAAAGCAGGCAGAGATCATGTGCTATGCAGAAAAGGCAGTGGGGCAACTGCATGTGAAAGAGAATACAATCTGTCTTCCACTGGTTATTTTTATGTGCTCCTTGTTTCTGTATTGCTCTTTATCTTGTTATTTCTTCCACATGTTTGTTTTGAAATGGGTGGTGCTTTTAAATTCAGTTTGTTTGATCTGCTCCTCTGTTTCAAAATCTGTTGTTCTTCAGATACAGATAGCAAAGTATCTTTTACTGTTCGTGTAAACATTTTAATCAGGTGCTGGAAGACTATCTACTGCTGACACAAATATACTGTTGCTGCTAAAATGTAAAGGGCATAGATGTTCAGATGCTAAAACACTTAGTTCATTGTCCATCAGATAAAACTTTGTTCTGCCCTAATCATGGGCCAAGTCTTCCATTGCTTTAGCAACATCATTGCTATTGCTAAGCCATCCCATTGTGTTCAGCTCTCAAGTAACACATGGATGCATATATCGTATGGCTTGGTCAGATCTTGTGGATGGATCTATAAGTACCCCTCTTCAGTTGTGGGATCACTTCTGCTTGCATTTTGAAGTATCTATGAAATTTGGCCTACATGTGGATATACAAGGAAAAACAGGCTGTCATGCAGCAGCAAGAATACTACAAAAAACAAACAAACAAAATCTATTTACAGTGGTGCCTCGCAAGACGAAATTAATTCGTTCCGCGAGTTTTGTCGTCTTGCGATTTTTTTCGTCTTGCGAAGCACGGTGTCGGGAAAGTTTTGGAAAAGCTTCAAAAATCACCAAAGTCTTCAAAAACCTCAAAAAAGGCTACCACACCGCGTGCTATGAGTTGCTCCTCAAAGTCAAGTCACAACTGTATTAACGGTGTTAAGAAAAAGGAAACAAACTTGCAAGACGTTTCCGTCTTGCGAAGCAAGCCCTTAGGGAAAATCGTCTTGCGAAGCAGCTCAAAAAACAAAAACCCCTTTCGTCTAGCGAGTTTTTTGTCTTGCGAGGCATTCATCTTGCGAGGTACCACTGTATCTAGAATGCTGAAAAATCTATAGACTTGTCCACAAAGAAGAGCCATGGCTTGAAAAGTGTAAGAAGCTTATAATGCAACCCTGTGCATGCTAGCTCAGAAGTTCCGCTGTCTTCAAAGGCACTTACTCCCTAGTGAGTGTGTTTAGGGCTGCAGCCTTAATTAATTTATTACACATATAGCATTTGAGGTTTCTGTGTGTGGATACGAACATTTGTATGATGACAGCATGAGAATCAGCAATGGCGTGAGTGGCTTAGGAGCAGCAATTGCTCTACAAAGGTATTATATGAATTGATTTTGTTATGTGATGTGAGTGAAATGTTGAAAAAACCTGGATGTATCACAATGTATGTAAAGTATGAATGAGTTGTATTTTGGTAATTTGCTTTAAGGTACACTGGTCTCAGTTTCATTTCAAGGGAGAGAATTGGAATAAACCATCACTGTATGGTATTTAAGAATTTGTCTTTGTCAATAAGTGTATAAATTAAATTAAAAGAACATATGGAATATATCATCATGGACTAAAATTATGTATATAAAGGCTGGTTCTGAGAAAAATCATCTAGAAATTTGAGAAACATTGTGTATATGTTTATATTAAAACCTATTTTTTCTCTTTAATTACAAATGTAGCAGTGCAGAATTGAATTACAAATGTATTGTTGTAGTTTTCCCAAGAGGTTCTTTTTCTTCTCTCCTTTTTTCAGTCTGGAATCAAAAGGTTTCACAGTGAATGTGATACGGTGACCCTCATTGGGTTCTCAGCTTCTGAGGTGATCATCTTCATCATACATGCAGAGTCATACCCAAAATGAGTTGACTAACAAGTTTAAATTCATTCTGATTATCTCACATGGTCATTTCAAATTGAATATGAATGATCAGTTAATAGCATAGAAAATCATACAAATATTCTAGAAGCCAGAAAGCTTTGACTTCTCCGTCTGGAGTATTCCTTGTTTTCAAGGTACATTTTTTTATTGGTGAATTATACCTTAGGGTACTGCAAACCCCCTGCTTGCTCATTCATAAAAATATTTCTGTTGTGTGTCTTGCACTTGGATTAGGTCCTCAGAGCAGTTTATAGCCAAGTGTCATAAAGCCGTATTGAAAAGCAATTGTGAGACAACAGCATGAAAATTAAACAGCAAATCACAACAATTTGAATCCAGAGCAAATTACCATCTGCCCTCTGAGCACGCTCAAAGAGGTAGCTAGACAAATCTCCCAGGTCAGCAAATGCCATAATTTGGACACTCCTAATGAGTAGGCCCAAGGGACGCGGGTGGCGCTGTTGGTTAAACCACAGATCCTAGGACTTGCCGATCAGAAGGTCGGCGGTTCGAATCCCCACGACGGGGTGAGCTCCCGTTGCTCGGTCTCTGCTCCTGCCAACCTAGCAGTTTGAAAGCACATCAAAGTGCAAGTAGATAAATAGGTACCGCTCCAGCGGGAAGGTAAATGGCGTTTCCGTGCGCTGCTCTGGTTCGCCAGAAGCAGCTTAGTCATGCTGGCCACATGAATTTGCTGCCAAGGAGTGTGGTGGAGTCTCCTTCTTTGGAGGTCTTTAAGCAGAGGCTTGACAACCATATGTCAGGAGTGCTCTGATGGTGTTTCCTGCTTGGCAGGGGGTTGGACTCGATGGCCCTTGTGGTCTCTTCCAATTCTATGATTCTATGACCCGGAAGCTGTGTGCGGACAAACGCCGGCTCCCTCGGCCTATAGAGCGAGATGAGCGCCACAACCCCAGAGTCGGTCACGACTGGACCTAATGGTCAGGGGTCCCTTTACCTTTACCTTTAATGAGTAGGCCCGATCCTGTGCCTGTGGGAAGCAGACAGCTATTTAGATACACAGGTCCCAATCCATTTAGGGCTTTAAATTGAAGAACCAGCAACTTGCACAGAGCCTGGAAATAAACTGGGAGCCAACTAACAACTGTGGACTTGCAAGGTCACCATATGTTGCAATAGTTTATCCAAGATTTGTATGTTTAAAACTGCTTACTAATTGGTGAAATTGGCAGCATCTAAGGGGGGTTTCTTTAACAGGGACCTTGTCACAATCACCTGCAATACAGACAGAATTAAACCTTCCAGCAACAAGGAACTAATTACCTCTTCTACCCAGTGAAGCCACAAGGCAGGTTCTTTTGTTAGTTTTTATTTAAAGAAAACCCAATCTAAGAAACTATTAGGATTTACAAGGCCAAGTTAAAAATCAGCTTTAATCAGCTAGTATAAGTATGGGTCAAGCACACTTGTTTATATCCCCAAAGATACTCTGTCCTCAGGCTGTACAAACTGAAAACTATACGTCAAAAACTTGCCAAGATGAGCTATGGCATCAACCAGAAGCGACCCTGTATTTAATGTGAGATCCAGGTCAGAATGAACGCAAGCAACCTTCCTCCTCCTACATATTTGCAAAAGCTCATACAGCATTACATATGTTTGGCCATTTATCTCTATCGCGAACTTATGGAAAACTGGATTACAGCAGTGTATTACTTATTATTACATGTGTTTGCACTTCTTTATTGGAAATCTTTGCTTCCTGTGTTAACATTGACCATAACCCTATCCCTAACTCCAACCCTGCAGGAAACATCCCCAATGACCAAATCCTCTCCCCCTCCCTTTCTCTGCATTTCAGAGACATAATTAAATGCTTGCATTGCCATGGGGTGATGAGAGGCATAGATATAGTACAAAATCTCCTTGCATAACAAATATGCCGAGTGCTTATCTCCGATATGTCAGAAGTGTCAACATAGAAACTTGATAATTAGCATCTCTAATGAAAAGGGATCCATCACACAATGCACTCTCAACTGCATTGGGAAATGAGGCTTGAAAATGCTAAGCAGCAGTGGTATAGATAAAAATCCATTATTTAAAATAAAATAAACCATTTTACGTTTTCAGTTGCAGTATAAGTCTATTACCACTACCACCACCAACCTAGGGGAATAACTAATTTCTAATATCAAACGTAAGCACGGCATATATTGTCAGCATTTATCACCTTTAATCAAGCAGCATAGACATTTGCTTTCTATTTCATGGAGAGAAACATTATTTTGCCTAGGATCAGCCCCTGCTTCTGGAAACTTCTGGTCACTCTGTCCACACTCCTGCTCATCTATTCTGTTTTCAGATATAGCATTTGTCTGCAAGTAAGCATTCTTGCGTAGTATCCTTGGATGTGCAGAGAAAGAGTTAGATGGAAAGAAACAGGTTTGCTTGTTTGTAACTAGTTCCTGGGAAACCTCTCTTTGGCCCCAGGAACAGATTCTGATATGGTGAACTTCTGGAGGGCCACATTCCATTGATGGGCAGGGCCAAAAGAAAAAAAAAGAAAAAGCATAAAAATGCAGAAATTCCCTCCAGTAGAATACATTAAAATGGCTTTTCTCTCTGACAAACCCCTGCCTCTGTTTTTGCTTTTAGGCGAAATGGGTGGTGGCACCTTTTTAAAAAATGCATTGTTCACACATGTGCAATAGAATCCTGAGTCCTGAATTGTAACAAGTCAATTCCAATCTGTTAGCTCCAAGGATGTGGACAGGCTGCTTGGACGAGTGAAACCAGCCACCTGTCTCCTTGATCCTTGCCCATCCTGGCTTATAAAAGCTAGCTGGGAAGGGCTGCGTGATGGGCTCTGCGGGGTGGTGAATGTTTCCCTCTGTGAGGGAACATTCCCAGATCCGCTGAAAGAGGCGGTCATTAAACCGCTTCTTAAAAAAACATCTTTAGACCCGGCCAGTATGGCCAACTATCGCCCAGTCTCAAATCTTCCATTCTTGGGTAAGGTGATTGAGCGTGTGGTTGCTGAACAACTCCAGGCACGCCTGGAGGATGCGGACCATTTGGATCCCTTCCAATTGGGATTCAGGCCGCATCATGGCACTGAAACTGCCTTGGTTGCACTGGTTGATGATCTCCGGCGGGCTAGGGACAAAGGTGAGAGCTGTTTCCTAGTTCTGCTGGATCTCTCAGCGGCTTTTGACACCATCGACCATAACACCCTTCTGGACTGTAGAGGAGCTGGGGGCACTGTTATACAGGTGGGGCGGTGAGAAAAGGGGCAACTTCCCATTTGGCTTCAGGCAGTGAAACAGGACAGCCCCTGCCAGATGTTGCCAAAAGTCAGCAGAAATAGTGATATGAAGCCACAGAGCAGGCAGGAAAACCAGAAGACTTGGAGAAGATGGTGGCTGCTTCCAGGCTACAGTCATACCTCATGTTGCGAACGCTGGGGCTTACGTCTGCAGGTTGCGTCCCGTGGCAACCCAGAAGTTCCGGAAAGGGTTACTTCTGGGTTTCACCACTCACGCATGTGCAGACGCGCAGATGTGGGTTGCATTCTGTTCAGGTTGTGAACAGGCCTCTGGAACGGATCCCGTTCGCAACCAGAGGTACCACTGTACTTCTGTTTTGCATAGCATACTGGAAAATCCAGGTTGTGAAATGACAGTGGATTTGCCATTCTTGCACAACAAACCTACCTATCTCCACCCCCATTAGGCTTTTTACAGTAAGGAAAGTGATGTGCAAATGCTTGCGTGTGGGGTAACAATTGTATGATACAACATTGTATAACCTCCTTGTCTAAAAATGAATGCTCAATGGACAACTGAGGCTGTATAACCTTCCTGCCAGCTCCGGAGGGATGTTCAAT